ACTCTAATGTTGTTCGTCAGGAACGAACGAGCGCGCGCACACATACACAATGACGAAGAGGAAAAGTTGAGTGGTGTAGTCATATAGGTTTTTCCGTATCGCATCTACTCCCGTTGGTGTATTTACTTTACGTGTGTGTATGTGTGCGCTCTCTCTCTGTCGGAGACTACATGAAGGCAAAAGTCAGACGTGTGTGCGCAACGATGACGAGCAAGTTATGTTGAGGAATATGATCTTTGGCTATGTGCACACGCCCGAGTGACAGTAACGTCATTTTCGCGCCATCCAGAGAGAGAAAGATGAATGATGAATGAATATGAGAAAAGACGGAAATGGACGTGTGGCTAAGCATAGAACTAAAGAAAACTCTTCGTGACAATAAATATATTATAGAATATAAAAAACTAGTCTTTGAAATGAAAAAAAAACAAATTTTATATTATGAAATGTATATGTGAAACAAATATCATATCAACTGTAATTGAATTATTTTTATTTGATTATTAAGTAAAACAACTTATAGATTTGTTAAAAAAAAACAATAGAATCATATTTACTTTTCAGTGAGTATTAATCTTATAACTACTTATAATCAATTGATCTCTTCCGTAATCAATTTAACTCAATTATTTCTATATTGAAAAATAATTAAAAGTTATAATAAGTTGTCGTATCGAAATTTGAACATATTGGCGAACTTGAAATAGATGATCATTTTGTGAGAAGTAAAACTCGAGATTATTTATTTATCCAACACCATCAATCAAAGCACAAAAAACAATTAAATTATTTTCTGATCAAATTATATGAGCTAAGAATATTCAGTTATTCACCATTGACTATTCATTCTCTAACTATAGTGGTATGCATTGTTTTTATTTATGCTTCATTGGCCCTATCTATGATTGATCGAAATAGATGTGCAAAATAATCTTTCATTTTAAAATACAAATATACACACCTTTCTAGTTATATAATTAGACACAAGAGCGAAAAAAAATGGGAGCTCGCTCATTCGATGGATATATCAGTGATTGGAATCGTAATGAAATCAAACAAAATGTTAACTAATCTATTCAGAAAATACTGCGAATTCGAGAAGGTATTTTTCAAGCAAATGTAGATGATGAAATATTGAATACGAATGAATTCGTTAATGTTTGCATTCGTTTATTTGATACAGAACATCAACAAAATTTATAAAAAATTGCTCGTATCTTTGAATCGTTTAATTGAGACCGTACTGGTAAAATTTCATTCGGTGGATTGCTCGATGTTATTGTTATGTTTAGAGGCGTAAACCGTCAGCCGATTTTTACTGAAGCCGACGGCTGGCAGCCGGTGTTTTTGCTAGAGCCAACGTATTTCCTAGCCGACGGCTTACACCTCTAGTTGTGTTGAATCATCTTATTCGTCAAAAAATACCGTGGGATGTCAACATGGTGATGGGCATAGTTCGTCACAATACGACTATCAAGTGTTGCGTCGTCTTAACGGTTATTATGGCTTACCATCAGGTACAGACCATGAATACGGAAAAAAGCTGCTTCGGAGAACCGTGTTTATGTCAACCAAGAAGAAAAAATTATAAATTAAATTCCACAACAAAAAGCTTATAGTCGACGCTACCAATGATATTTTATAAAATTTCCTAGGCTTTCTACGTAGCAGAAAATTTATTTTTATTCAACAATTTATTTCTATTTCGGGAATCAATCAAAGGGAGGATAATTTTCGAAAGATTTTTCTTCGGTAAAATGCATAAAAAATATCCTCAAGATACATAATAAGACAATCGTGTTGATGTGAAATCCTTCGCTGTTGACAGAAAGAAAAGAAGATTTTTACGAATTATTTTTAATTACCGATCATCAATAAATAAGTTTTGTATGAATTTTTTGCAGTGTTCGATTATTCTAAGCATTTGTAGCGACACACAAAGTAGAAAAAAAAAGACTCATCTTATCTTTCTTATAAAACATAGATAGATGATCCAGTACGATGGTAGGTTTTTTCGAATGGAGAAAGTTATATAGGTGCTACTTAGATAGCAAACTATTTATATCAAAGTATATTATTGCATATAGAAAATATTTCTGCCAAACAATTTTTGCTCTTTTTTGATGAATGACTTCTATCGATATTTATGTTCGATGTTCTTTCCTATTCTTGCATTATATTTCACAAAGTATTTCGGTAGTTACTTATATGTAGATAGTACATAGAAAATGATTAAACTTCATTCGAATCTTGCGCAATATAGTGAATGAACTAGGAATAGACTAACAGAAACTGTCGATCTATCACGTATCGAAATGTAGTGTCTTTATTTTGATTATGCCCAGGCGGCTGGATGTGATGGCGTAATGAATATGGATGAATTTATTCTATTCTATGGTTGTCTTTCGGGAATAAAATGCAAAACATACATCATATGAAAGAACAAAACTACTGGAATGTTTCAAACGTTTGATTGAAACCGTATAAGTATATTTTCATTCAATGAATTCCCTCGTACTATTTTCATAGTGTTGTTTAATGATGTAATATATCATGATCGTATTGATTAATAATCTGATTCGTCAAACCAAGACTGATAGAAATCAACAAAAACGATAGATTTATCTCATCACAAGATCGTCTGCAATTATTTCGTTGTCTTAATTATTAATAAAACTTATCATAGATTACAAATTATCGATGTTAAAAAAATGAGTTTGTTGACAAAATTGGGCTTATACTGCATAATTGGAATCAAAATAAGCTGCATAAGTCAACATTTTAATTTTTATCAAAATGAATAGAAGAAATAATTTGTATTGTATGTGCTGTAAAAAAAAGCAATATTTAATAAATAAAATATGATTTAAATATTAACGAATCTTTATCACTTTTACAATGAGATCAACGGATTATTTTTATACATCTATGAATGTTACAGATGGATCAGTAATTTTAACTGTACTCTTTAAGTTGTTGACTTTTGATTTTGATAGAAAAATAGTCTATTGATTTGATTTGAATTGGTATTCTTTCATAAATCCAATACTGCACTGATTGTAATCAACGATTTTCTAATAGGAAAACATTTTATTTCATAGAAAGAAGCGTCATTTGAATTGTAATGGATTCAAATTAATTTCTAAAAAGAATCTTAACTTAACTCCAGTTAATTGACTGTGTTTTTCTATTAACCTCATCTAAGCGAAAAAATTTTTCATAAACATAATAATTATATAATCCATATGATGTAATTAATGATACGAGTATTTATAAATCGGTTCCTGAAATAAACATACACATGCTCATGGCACTTCGTGACCTTTGAATAAAATTGTTTGTATCAAGTATATATTTTATAAACAGAATGCTACAGTGGATAGAGAGAAATGAAAAGAAAAAAAGAAAGATTTACTTTATCAAATTAATTTTAAAGATCTCGGAAAATAGCTGAGTAAGAAATTCATTGAAAAATTTGATCTAGTAGTAGCTATTGAATAAATTTGAGTAAAATCTTAAAAATAAGTTAACCAGAATGATTAATTTAGTTGAAACCATTAATTTCTTGAAGTTACTCCAGATTTTTGATAGGCACATATACTATTCAATGGCGTTAATATTAACAATTATTCGATGCTATTTAAAATAAGAGTTTTTCTTAATCGAATGGGTAAAATTGTCGAATATCTGTATATATTTTTGAAATTCAGCTGAGAACACTCATCGTTTTCATTGTGTTTAATGACATTTAAATGTTGAAACATTCTTGGTAATATTTCTCTGAAATTAAAATAGAATGTTTTAGTACATGAATCATAAAAGGGAAACAAACGCTTCTACTGAAACTTGATATGAAAAATTTTCTTAGTTGATTACAGATTCTTGTTGGTTCTTCGTTATATAAACATGTTTGTTTTTTATTAGCAAATCATTGGCAAACAGTTTTTTTTTATAGAGTAATGCAAAATAAAGAGGTAATATTTTCGTAGAAATTTTTCTCTATGACATTCACAGGGGTTTCCGCAGATAAGATCTAACTTATGCTTTTAATTTATCAAAAATAAGATTCTATACTTTTATCGTGGAACTTTATTTATCTGAATACATTTTTTATGAGCTCATGTAATCATTAATCATCGTATTATAAACACTCTTCCTTCGATATATATTAGTATTATAATTATAATTTCTGTTTCAAATTCATAAAGAAAAAGAAGATTTTGATTATTCCAATACGCTTCTATTTAGCAGTTCGATTACGAGATCGAAGTAAAATATTCATGAGTATAATCAGCTCTTTGCTTGTGCTAAGTACGTACAAACATTCTGTATAAGCTGTACTTTATTTTCAAAGTAATATTTTCATAGTTCTAGCTTAGCGATGGTCAGCTGAGGTAGGTGAAATTTGTGGACGAGCCTTCTACTTGTTCACACAGATGTACACTCACATCTTTCGTATTGATGGACGGCTTCGATATCAATCAATACAAACGAATGATTATATCACTTCGTGCAACATTAGTCAACATTATGTGTTCGATCATGATAAATTCTCAATCAATAGATTTTTATTGCTTTTAGTAACATAATCTTTTGCATTCGCGTACCTGCAGTTCAGACGCCCTATATTCTATGGCGTGTAGCTTGAAAGCAAAATCACTATTCAATAACAAACATTTTTTAATATTTTCCATTTGCTCGGCAAACAGCCACACATCTCTTTTACTCATTTCTTTTCCCGTTCTCTATGTCATATTTGGGTCAAGGGACGTAAGAAAACTTTCTTTCTTGGATACATGTTATAATGATAAAAGTAGATAATTAAAATTTCATGATTAATATATTTTCATGAGTGGTACGAGATCGGTAAAAGAATAGCAACAGTTAATATCGATGAGAATATACATGAGTCTAAATAGTTTTTGTTTTTGTTATTTAGCCTGGTGTATGTATTATCTTCAGTATTAACTCATCTTGCTACCATTGCCAAATACTTGTTCTTATTCAGTCGATGAATTACCGTTGGTGTTGAGGTGGTTATTCATCGGAGTCGTTTCTGAAATTTTCTGAGATTGCAGTTGTGCTCTTTGTTGTATCAGACGTTGTTGGCAATATATTGGTAGACCTGGATTTAAACTCACTGCGTAGGGTAACATTGTTTTGTTTAAGTTTGCAAAATCTACCATTACTCTGATGAACATCACATTTTCTTTCACGTATCTACTATTCGGTTGTTGTATTTTGTCTAATTGCACGAATTTTGGGATGCCACTTGCAATATTCATATCACACTGTGGTTTCTGGAAACTACTTGACTTTGGGTCAGGACGAAACGTATCGATGACATGTTGCTGTTCGCCAGTTTGATCAAACAAACAAAATGTAACTTTGTAAGTGAACGGAAAAGAAAGCAACACATCGTGTGCACTTCGCATTAGAACAAAAAAGAGGGACATATGGGTACGACGTGCGTTTCCGTCGCCATAGAAATAGACGCGTGCGCACATTTTGTATCCTGTTGGCGAAGAATAGAACGGTGGCGAATAAATTGAAACTTGTCGTTCCGATTGAGCATCAGCTAAAAATGTATAGTGCTACCAAAAAAACAATGAAGTTTTGCTGGTTATCGCGAGCATTTCTCAAATAAACAATATTAGATTTTCACCCGTTTAAAAACATGACTTTTTTTGATATCTCATTAAAAGGTTAAACTAATCTAAAGTGTGTATTTTGGCTATAAATGAAATTAAAGCTTTTGTAATATAGTTGTAGGATGAGACTATTATAAATAGTTGAACATATACTCATTTTCTCTTGTACATTGCTGATTTTCCATAATAATGTTCCATCATATGAGATTGATTGTGACTCTTCAATTTTTTGTTTTAAAGAAAAACAATCCTGTTGGAGAATACTCATGTTAGTACTAAGCGCATCCATGAAATTCTTTGATTCTTCACACGATGTTTTTAGCGCTTTCAAGTTTTGACTAGACATTTCTATCAATAGAGATTGTTGCAATGATTCACTACTTAATCGCTGTACATCATCATTTAGTACAGCAGTACCACCTGCTAGGATATTCATTGTTTCAGTGATATCTTTTTGCTGAACATTCGACTCATCAGTTTCTAGAATTGTCGATGAATCAGTAGTTACTTTAGGCGAATCATCAATTCTTTTCCTGTCGACATATGCGTCCATGTGTATGGTGTTTTGATTTTTTACAGTTAACGTTGCTATGCATTGCAAAATGCATAACACAAGAATCTGTTGATGCATTTTACTAGTATAATGTTCGGATTGATTGCAGCGTAATATCTATGCTAGACAAGCATATGCGATAAGAGCTATTACGTATTTACTACTTACTTTTGTATTACAACCGTATGGCTGCAACATACAATCTACTAGCATCTGTGAACACATACTTTCTGTATGTTGCTGTAGCGATGGTGCCGAAGTGAATATTGAATTGCAGAACAGACATCGATATTGTTGATGTAGCTCTGCTAGATGGTTCTTTATAGAAAGGAAACAACGGAAAATTTATCTGCTAGAGAGAAAATCACAACAATCTAAATACTTCATAATTAATGAAATCACCAGACCATTCACATAAATGGCAAAGAATTTGCAACTGTTGCATGTCATTATTGAAGCCTTTGTCCAGTCTAATCTTTAATATTTAGGTGTTGAACTCTACTTTATTAATCGATGGCGTCCACTGGATGGACGACAAAGAAAATCTTCGATTTACCTCTGATAATGATGTGACTTTTGAACATTTTGGACACCGAATCAAACTAGGTACAAGAATAATGTTGAAATGTTTTAAATATTCGTATGACAGAAAAATATTGCTATGATTATGTTACTTGTTTTCAATAGGAAGACACGAATAGCATAAACGATGTCCACACATAATTTGAACCGGATTTCTAAGAATAAGTTGACACGTTAGACATTTGTATTTTGTATCGAGACAAAGAATATTTTTAGCATCAAATCCATTATTCAACGAAGTATTCTGAAATTGAAAATAATATTAACTCTCTGCTTCTGTTCTAGACATGATACTACCATGATGACGTCACGTCCTTCAAGATGCAGGCAGTCGATATAGGCTTGAAGTTTAATATTTGTAGAACGTACTTTTATTACTTATAACATTTTATAGTCACCTATTTGGAAAGAAAGAAAAAACATCGGTATATATGTCATTCCACGGAAAACTAGAAAAATAATGACACTTCTCCTTTTTACTTCCGAAAACTGTGTCATGTTCTAATTGAATTTTATTACTTCCTTTCTTTTACTTTTGCGTGCATATAAATCATATATTTTAGTAAATTTGATCTGTTTTCTCGGAAAGACAAACTGATATGCTTGTCTAATGAAAGTTATTAGCTGTCTTATTGCTGTCAATTACTCACGATCAAATTCCAATAAACAAAAATAAACTTACTCACCTTGTTGATTTTCGACAAAGACACGATGAGTCACTTTCCAACAACATACAAAAGATAATATCACGTTACTAATTTAAAAATAAAAATGTTGTTGCTGTGGATTGTTGGAAAAACATGATAAGAGTGGGAAATGAGTTATCTTGAATTTTTCTGATTTATCTTTACAAAATAATTTTTTTTCTTTGAAAACCTGATGTTTAATGATTGTCAAGTAGGTCACAAAAATAGATGATACTACCAAGAAAAGTAGGATGTAGATAAAAGTTGTTGCATGTATTAATTTCATTCTTGAATAATACCACATACCTTAGTGATGTTTGTGATATGAAATGATACAATCAAGATATCGTGTTGTTATACTAGGTATTTGTCTACTGACCAATGATCAAGAAAAATTCTTCCTTTATTCTTTATTTCATCGATAATTTCTTTTAAATGAGAAATTCATTTATCTGTATTTAATAAATCATAACCAGTATGTTTATATTTATTTCATAAACTAAAGAAAAAGTAAAATCCATCATAGAAAATAATTATATGCCTGAGCATCTAAAATAACAAAAAAGCATTTGAATAGATGGTGAACGACCGAAAACAGCTTCTCGAGTAGTCAAATTCTATTTAGTCACATATATTTCTTTTAGTCTCGTTGTTGTGTTTTGTTCATGTGTGCCCTATGATGTTCTATTAGGAGTGCAACAAATCTGATTTCTAGATTCTGTGCAACCAAAATCCTCAAGACTTGAGATTCATGAAACGAGGCTGCCAATCTCCTGTTAAAGGTGATTTTCGAGCATTACCAAGCGGTTAAAGATGTAAAAGAGCTTCCATAAGAAGATACTGAATCAACCACAGAAAAGTACATGAAGACACTGTGTTTCTGTACAAGCTGTGTTGATGCTATGGATATAGTTGCCTATTCATCTAATTGCACGTAGAATTTATCTCTGACTTTTTCGACATGATACACCTCTCAACATAAATAGGCGCAAGTTTGATTAAAGATTCAAAAAGTAATCATGTGTTATGACTTTAATTTCTTTAATAAGAAAAATGTCGAATATTTCTTACAATATTATGAAATACAGATTAGTATATTTTTAGATCAAAAATAGTGGCATTCATATGATGGAATGAAAGAAAAAATAATCGAAAATTGCTTTTCGATGAAGTTTAACGCAATCAAAACCTTATTCAACATTCGAAACTGCTTATTATTTGTTAGCTTCTATTTATGTTAGGGGATATATACTGAAGCTATGTCTTCTTTACATATATANGTTGCTTTGTCACTAAAATTAGGTACGATTATAACCCATCACTATAATAAATCAATAGTGTTTCATCAATTTTCTGTATTAATCATCTTTTATATTCCGCATTCGAATTCTGGAGTAGAATTGATTTTCGATTATATAAAGCAAATATAGTCCGATTATCGTAATCCAGTAATATAAAACCAGATAATGCTTAACTTAAAATAAAAGTGATTGGTAATAATTCTTGAGAAGGTTTTTATTAGCATATGTTATCTTAAACAAACTTTCGAGAGCAAATTCCAAAAGACACGAAATATGAATAACAATACCGAGATGATGAAATTTAACGTTTTTCTCTCGTTGGATTTCTTAATCTACGCAAAATGTATGTGATTTAGTTCTGCTCGTTTCTGTGAACGAGTTTTAAATTTAAAAAGAAGCTCAACATTAAGGATCTTTTATTGATGTTTGCGTATTAGCTAAACGATATATTCACTATCATTTCTTTCGTTTTATTTAAATATCTTTGAAAATAAAGTTCCAGTCAGTGAATCGAAATGCAGCAGAATTTTGGAGGCCAGTATTTTAGCGGCAGATCTACTAATTTGCCAAAAACTGCCATTTTCTGATTTTGAAAAAATATTTTCTGATTTTTCAATTTTTGATGTGGCCACCCTGATTACCAATCACTTTTATTTTAAGTTAAGCCTTATCTGGTTTTATGTTACTGGATTACGATAATCAGACAATAAATACTTCATATAACCGAAAATCAATTCTACTCCAGAATTCGAATGCAGAATATAAAAGATGATGAATACAGAAAACTGATGAAATTTTTTAAAATTAAAAACAATCTTTTTGATTTTTTTAAATTTAAAAAAATTTAGATGAATTTATTAGTAATTAGATATTTCATCGATTTTGGCCAGATACACCCCGGGAAGTCCCCAGGGAGTCCCCGCAAAAGAACGAAATCCCTAGGGACTCCCTTGGGATTCTTCTAGGGAGGGTTGTCTAGGGGTTATAATCGTACCTAATTTCAGTGACAAAACAACGATCTGAAAATATTCCAAATTCAAAAAAAAATCAGAAACATGTTCAAAATTCAGAAATTTTACCTAGTTTTCAGAAGATCTGGCCACCCTGATCGGAAGTAACAAAGAAACCAGTGGCCCGAATTCTGATATAAAATTCGGCTAACGGTTCACCGAATTCTATCAGTTCTTGTTGAATTTCGACCAAACCCGATGAAATCCGGATCGCTGAAATTTTTTTGGCCTGAGAAATAGCATCGTAGTCATCAACAAGAAAAGCAAAAACTATTTGCCTACGAAGTGTTGGTATTCAATCATAGACATTGAGTTTTTTTCCAACATATTGTTTTTTCTTTGCTTCGTATTTTCAACAAAATCTCTTTCATGTCTACTTGCAAAGATTCGCCGAAATCGGTTACTATTAATCCAAACAAAAGTAAAAAAACTACTCTACGTCGGACAAAGTTGACTTTCTTTTCTTTCCAACAAAATTTGCCATTGGCAATAAATGAAACCAAATAGTCGATTGAAGTTGAAAAGAAACTATTTTCCTTTCGTCCTATATGCCGAAGATTGATTAGAAAAATAAGTGGGCGCGTCCTATTACCTTCAATCTTTCGGAAGTTAGTTAACAAAAATAAAAGAATGATGCATACTATTTTCAATAGATTTTTAATCAATAAAAATGCAAAAATAATTTTACTGGTCGACTAAATTTGAGAGATGAAGTTTTTTACGTTATATAGTTTAGAATACTGAACATATTTGTCGTGAATTTGATTCAAATTAATTTTCTTGAACAATATAATCATATGAAATGTTTCGTTTGAATAGTTTGAAAGCTAACTACGATTTATATACAGAGAACACACAGCTCTTCGAGCATTAAGGGGGCGAGGTAGGACAGATTATTTTCGTGAGATTGCAATGTAAACTAATCGATTAAAAGAGAATAACGCATATTTGTATTCTAGTCTGAGATTTCTCGGCAGTCTGTACCAGAGACGTGTGCAGGGCATAATTTTCTCTCCTGTTCTTGCCTGTCCTGTTGGCTACCTTGGTCCTGGCGGGCGGCAGGACAATACGTTAAAGTCATGTCCTGACTAGCGTTACTGATTTATCCTCATTTTTCTAGTGACTGAAAACTAATTATGAGTCCGAATTTGGGACTCCAAACCCTAGCTATTCTCGATCAAAGTAAATATTAGTATTAGTAATCTTAGGCTTAATGTATTTGACATCATTTTCAAATACAACAAATACGCTTTAAATTATCACTAATTTAAGAATACAATAAAATAGAAAACTATCTTAACTTTCGCGGCAAGAACAAAATATGAACAAGATTGATTGTAGCACGAATGTGATAATTTAAACTTGATACTATTTAAAGAAACAATAACTAATAGGCAGTGTTTTACCACAAAATAAAAATAAATGGAAAATACATAAAAAGAAGTTTCTACCAGAGACAGAGACGTGCTCAGGACATAATTTTTTCTCCTGTCCTTGCCTGTCCTGTTGGTAATCTTCGTCCTGATGGGCGACAGGACAGGACAAAAATCTAAATCTCATCCTGTCCTCAAGGACAGGGCAGGACAACAAGACCATCCTGCCTTGTGCACGTGTCTGGTCTGTACTGGATGTCATGTGTGTTTTTCTTCTGTGTCCCACAATTTTTTCAAACGTGTCTAGCCACACAACCATCGATAGACAGCCATTACTGAACATATTTGACTTCCTTTGTCGATTTAGGGTTCAACTTAAACATTCAGTTGTATTCATTTGCAAGTAATGTGTGCCTATTATTGTTATAGTGAATTAAATAGATCAGAGCACGATTCAATTAATGCTACGCTGAAATGAAAAGTAAATTAAGAATTCATTGCTATGACGGTTTAGTGGAATCTGGACATCGAAATTTCGACAATGTCCAATTTCCAGTGAAATTTCGTCAACATGTCCAATTGCACCGGAAATTGGACAAAATTGTCGAGTTTCCGAATTTGCCGAAATTCTTCCGGAATTACGACAATATCAATTTTTGCTGGTTATTTTATTGTCCAATATCCGGTGGAAATTGGACAATATGCATGACAGTTGGAACTAATATGTTTGGTTGAAATACACATTCACTCGTTTGTCAGTGAATAGAAAAGCTAAAAAGTACTATGTGATTATACAAAGTTTCACATGANTTAATACTCGATTACAGACATAAGCAAATAGGCAATGACCTAATTATAGGTTTTGGAAATCAGGGTAGATTTTTCAGATGAACTATTTTGAATTATTTTAGTAAGCCGAAGGGATATATGTGAGTTGCACATTTTAGCCCCAAAGGGGCTGCGCTAACAAGTTTTTTCGTGTGAAACTTTCTATAATTACATAGTACTAGATGCTTCGAAACTTAGTGCACGAGACATTTAAATAGTTTACTCTAGGAACTTTTCTCGATCGTATAGGCTCTGGTTTTCAATTATCCAAAGCTAATGAAAGCGTTTTAAATAAGATTTAATTACTTTTTCTCTTGGTTTAAAAGCTTGGAAAAAAATATTCAATAAAAACTTTTATTATTTATATTATATTCATTTTTTTATATGCTGAATTTCTTAAATATATTTGTATAAAATTATATTGTATTATAAATATAGAGAAAAAAATACAATAAGAACAAAGAAGAAGCAATGTCTTGTTTTAACCAGAAAAAAAAGATTTATGCATTTTTAACATAGTGCAGGCTAAGGAAAAGGTTCACACATAAGAAAGAAAACAGACACGAAGAAAAGAAGAGAAATGAAACGATTTTCTTTCTTATTCAACGAGAAGGTTATTCCTGCTTATTACGACATTCTTGGGAATGTCCTTTCTCTTTTCTTTTCTTTTCTAATAAAGATATCGCCCAAATGACCACGGTTGTGATAATCGATTAAATGTCTCATGTTTATATTGTTTAAGATTTCGAACGAGACGTAATGTATTATCGACATCACGACGAGCACGGCGCTATATATAAAAATGAAAATAATGACGTTTCTTAAACATCAAATAGAATAACTTACAGAATTCATATCAAAATGAAACATTCGAGGAGCAATACCAGCTCTATCTTGTAAAAGACATTCACGACTCGCATCGATTCTATCTTGATTATCATACAGTTTATTTAATGTATCATCATTTTGTGCTTGTAATTCACTTAATAAATCATTTTTTTTTAAATCTCATGATTAATTAAACAAGTAAAATAATAACTTACTAGCCCATTTCAAGATTATCTTCTGCTTTCCAATAACTTGGTTTATGCTCGACAGTTCTGGTTAAGCCATTGTATTGAACACCAACATTATTAACACCATCTTTTTCAAATCGAACAAACTAATAAAAATAAAAATATTATTTTCAATGATATTTTATTTTTTTATGACTCAATATTTAGTATATACATATGATTTAAGTTAATTAGTGTGTATTTGTTAATTTAGAAAAAAATATGATAGAAAGAAGAAAAAAACTAATTTGCTTAAAAATCAATGTTAGGATATCACCGAAATCTTTTCGAACCGTAAATCTAATCATAGACATCATACTAAAATTTAAAAAAAGCAACTACCTTCTGACTCCTTTTCTCTTTAAGAAAAAGAGCAAATGTTACACTTACCGTTCGTCCAAAATAATCTCGTGGATTATTAAGTCTTGAAATACCCCTACTACCAACACGAGAATCAATAGTACGTCGAACATCTTCACGTGCTCGATCTAGATATTGACTATCATGTGAAATAGCCGAAAATGTTGATGGTGTCGGAAAGCGTAATTGTCTTAATTCACGTGTATAATCAATATCACGCATGGCCCGCTTGAGGGAACTAATGCGATCGATTGAATCATTGAAACGATAATTATACGATGAATTATTACCTGCAGCAGAGTAAAGTGCAGGTGAACGATATGTATAAAATGGTCGGTAACGCCAATCATCGTATGGAAAATGATAGTAAAAGGTACGCGGTGCTGTATGATACCAATAATAAGGCCTATAATGAGTGTAATGACTATCAAGAGCAATTGGTGTTTTATCCCGAATACGTTCTGTGTAACGATCAAAATAATCGAAATCATGTGTACCATATGCAGAATACGGTCGTTTTGCTCTCAAATAATCGTAACGACCCACCGATCGGGATCGGTTCCAACGATTGTAATCACTGCCGAGTAATTCACTGTCAACATCTTTGAATCGAGCTACAGAAGTAGCTCGACTCACACGAGATAATGCTCCATACACATCAGGAGTGTAAACATTAAGACGTGTTGAATAGCCGCGTCCTCCAGTACCATCAGCAGCTGATCCATACTCATAAATAGATGGAGTTGCCTCGCGTCCTGGTGTCGTACCACGGAAATGACTTAACGAACGAGCTCGACGTGACATGTTTGTCTATAAAACAAAATATAAATATTCCCAATTTAGCAATTAATTCACATAAAATATCTTCAAATTGTTCGAATGCACGGGAAAACGTTGAAAGGAAAAATGTCGAAAATAAAAATATCGAAAACATTACCCTCGCTGTTACATCCACATTTTCAGTCCTCAATTTCGTTTTCGATATTTTTATTTTCAACTTTTTCCCCATCATACCAACTGTTCTTATCTACTTGCTCTTCTTCTATCTATTCATCTACAAAACCTTGCATGCTATGTACTGGAAGATACTTATGTTCTATCTATCTGTTTATGTGGATTGTATTTATTTGGCTATGTGGAGGAGATGGTTCTATACTTCCGATATGTTAGCATTCGTGCTTCTTTTTCTCCGCTCTCTCCATAGTTTATATAAGCAAGTAGTTTTGGTGCGGTTTTTTTTGTCCATTTCTTTCTTTTTTTGCTTGTCCTTGTGGATGAAAACAACATACACTAGAAGCAATAAGCCGCAAAGAAAAACAGGATGCTAAAATATCCACCACAGTATAATCAGAGACGTTATCACTGATATTCATAGAAAGAAATAGCAAAAATATCACAAATAAAGACTATTTTTTTCTGTCTCGAGCTTCATTTGTTATCTAAATATATTGTATTGGGCACGATGAGAAAAACTCTCTAATAAGGTATTTCTACTCGTCTAGATAGAAAGAAAAAGAGACAGCAGTAGCACCATACTATTGGTTTTGCCATGTATGGCAAACACCAACGCATATAGGACAATGTACAAGAAAAACAGCAACAACAATATAATACCACAAAAAAGAAATTCTCTCCATTGTTCTTACATTTTATCTTTGCTAAAAAACAAAAGCAGCGTTAAAATTAATTTCTTTCATTATTATACAATCGTTGTTTACTCAATACCACAAGCCCTTTCTCGAGATCAATGGCAATGTATGATACGAGACAAAGAAAAACAGGCGTGATCTATCTAAGATGTTGTTAGGCAACTACGAGTCGTCTTGTACTGTATTTATGTGATTAATAACACAGCACTCAACTGTTTGTTTGTTTGTACGTGCGCCGTTAATAGCACATATATAACTTTATTGGACCAAATACGGATTAGACATAGACAATAAAACAACAGAATAGCTTTTGTTTTTTATTGATAACTTACCATCGTTTTTAATTCCATATATTCTTCGAATAAATTCATGTTTTCTTTTGAATCTATCGTCAACTAAAATAATGTTATAAATTGAAAGAAAAATGATTATCAAACCACAAAAAAATAACACGCAAGAATTTAATAGAAAAATTCTCAACGGGTGTTACTTTTTGTCAATTAATATTTCTTTTGATTCAATAAATAAAAAAAAACTCATCGGCTGTATGTGATACTCAAATGAAAATGACTTGTTTTGTTACAAATTTAAATAGAATATTTTCACTTATATTTGTTGTTGAATTGACTAATATTTTATAGTTTGACTTTGACTTTTGATTATAATATTCTGTTGACAAATCAAAAATATGATAGACTTTATTTTTCTCTTGTGATTCTTTTTCTGTTTAAATCGTAAATAAGCCCTACCGAAATTGATGAGATATTAATCAGCATGGCATTAAAGAATAACTAGCTGTAAATGTCGAATGCATGTATTCGTATATATTAGTCTGTAAACGATTATAGCGTAGACAATAATTAAGATGGTTATCAGTGGCTTTTAAACAAACATTATATGTACTTTGCTATAGATCATAAACTTGTTTTGATATGTTTACTTTTTATGAATATTGATATTCTATTCAAGTTCAGAATGATCAAAATCTTTTATTTTTAAGAAGAAAATTTAGGAAAAGTCTCTTATCAATCGATCGATCTAATCTATTTATCAAGCTAAAATGGTTATGTCAAACATCTGTTAATGATTATGTTTTTTGCATGCCAATTTGGCAACGAACATAGTGTAATATCTCGAAAGTATTCGATTGGAAACAGAGAGTTATCTTCTAAATTGTTCTATGGGATATAACTAAGCTGAAATCAGTGCTTGTGTAACGACTGGGAGCTATGCTAAGAAAAAGACGACATTATAAATTTGCCACTTGCTAAGCAGAATTTCAATGAATTCATCATAGAAATTATGATGCTGTTCTGTTTAAAAAATATTTTAATGAAAATTACTCGTATCTCTCATCCTGTCTATAAATATACTGAAGTAACAAAGATTTTTGGCAATTATAAGAATAATGAGTGTACTATAGCGTAAATAATAATAATAATAATAATAATAGTTGGAATTGATTTAAATCTGGTGTTGCTCATTATGAAGCGACTGTTTTTGTAAAAATAAAATAAGTGCTTATATTGTAATAAATTGATTTCAATTTTATTTTGAGACAAGACTTATTCGTTTTTGTTGAACAAAAAAAAAAACGTTTGCTTGTGTAATTTATGGATTAGGTATACGTAGAATTAAATCCGGCCAAATATCTAACATTTAGGAATTTTAATTTGATTCTACATTTCTGCAAACAGAATGAGATAATTAAATAATACTCTACCAATCAAAGTTCTTCATTTTTCTGATCACTTCTCAGCTAACGATAGCTGTGAGTTGTATATAGACGATAATTTCATCCGTTTCTCTCAATGGAAAATAATCAAAAAATCTTGCTCATAAGTTATCGTATTTGCGCCTTCTTCTGCACATGTATACGTTGACTATATCAAATGGTTGTGTTGATATGCATCATTAAAGTCAAATGTAGAAGTAATATTCTCAAAAAACAAAACTACTCTTATCAAATGTTCTGATCCAACCTATTCAGGCAGCAGCTGCCAGTGCTGCTTAGATTCGTGTATCGATATTCTTTTTTTTCTCTCTGACTCTGTACATACCGATAAGAGTCATGCAAATAGAAACGAATACCAACAAAAAAAAAAAACATGAAAAATGGCAGATGCATAGAACTACTTATGTATTCATTCATTTAGTCGGTATTCGATTTTCTACCTTGCCCTTCTTACTCACATAAATTATTTTTTCGATTGAATTCATACGCCAAGTATGCTAAATTATACGTAAGCAGAAAGGAATTTTGTTTGCGCACCATAGAGAAACATATATACATATACGTATATTTAAAAGCGACAGCTGAGTGACGCATATGATGCATTGAGAGATAAACGCAAAAAAATCTCCAAAAAATATTTATCAAAATAAGAATATCTTCTGGTAGCTGTTCTTAGAATTTCAGATTGACATCATTATAATGGCCGACGCAATGGCTGGCAATATTCAAGAATTAATTTTCGCTAAAGCAAAAGAGTTATTTAATATGTGTGATAAAGAAGAAAAGGGTTTTATTATTAGAAGAGATATGCAACGGCTGCGAGATGAGCTCGCTGTTGAGCCCGAACAACTTGAAGATGCTTTTGACTCTTTAGATGTTGATCATAATGGCTTTCTGACTCTTGACGAGTTTACATGTAAGTTGTTGGATTGAAAATTTTCTTTAGTTATCGATTGATTTTAAGCTGGTTTCGGTATGTTTCTTGGTATCCAATTGGATAACATTAATGAGAATGGACCGGAATTCATCGAGCATAATTCTAATGATAATGATGAAAAACGAGAATTTCATGACACGTTAGTAACATTGGGTGCAAAAGATCTGTATGATGATGAAGAAACAATCATGGGATTATGGTTAAAGTTACGTGAAAGTGACCCCGTTTTATTACGGCAATTTGAAAAATTTATTGGTAAAGTTACCGAAGAAATTAAACAATCAAAATTAGATCATCAAAGCATTGAAGCAGCTTTACAAAGTAAATCATCTGTATATAATGATGAAATAAAAAAATTATACGAAGAAATGGAACAACAGATCAAAACAGAAAAATCTAACGTACTTGAACAAGTAAATAAAAATATTTAATTTGTTCTTATAGACTAAGCTGGTCTTATATGATTTATTGTTCGGCTTAGGAAAAATTAAAAGAGCGCGAAATTCGAGAACAAATGGAAGAAGAATTACGTATTAAAGAACAACAATTAGCTGAAGTAACTAAAAAGAAAAATGCTTTAGAAATGAAATTATTTGATATTAATTTAAATGAAACAGAAATGAAACATGATAATGAACGATTACAGCAAGTAATTATATTAAGATAAATAATAAATTTCGTTTTTTGTTTCAAATTGATCTAAAACCGTTTTAGGAAAAAGCCGAACTTGAAGAACAATTACAAGAAATCATAAAAAATCTTGAAGAATCTAAACATTATATATCTCAATTGCAACTTCAAACCAACAAAGAAAAACGAGATCGGGCAAAGTTAATTGATGCAAATAACTATTTGAATAATTACATTTTATTCCATTTTACATAGGCAAACATTAAATTTAACTGAAAATATTGCTATTGAACATGAAAATCTTGTTCAAGAACTTGATAAATTGAAGTCAGTTGGAAATATTCTAAAATCACGACTCTATTTTCTATTCTTATAGATCTATTAATCAGCGTTTATTGGACGAGCGTGATCTTCAACAGGACGCTAAAGTAAGATATCAACATTGAAAATGAACTTAGATATATTTATATTGAAATTTCAGTTAAAAGAACATGTTTCACCATTATATAATGGATCAGTAACAGAAAAAGGCTCGATTTTATCGAACTATATTACTTCACCATATAAGTATGTCATCACCAGTCAATTTTTATTATAGCTTTATAAATATATTGAAAAAAATATTTATAGAACTCTTTGAAGATCTAGTTTCCTTTTAATCATAATTATAGCGTGTGTTGTTTTTGAAGTTTAGAGTTCTAACAAAAATAATTATATATTATCTATTTCTAGCGATGGTAGCGAACCTGAAGAAGATGATGGCATTACATTTTCAATACATGATGATTTCAGTGCAAGTTGCTTTAAAAATGCGCAAAATCAAAATAATTTCAGGTGATTAAATTATATTGTTAATTAGTTATATTTTCCCCTATGATCCGGTGACTAACTCTAGCAGTAAAAGGAACGCATTAAAAATCATCAACAAAAGTAGTGTCGTACATGTATTAGTGACTGTCCATCGTTAATAAAATCGTTAATCTCTGAATATATCATAAGTTTTATTAATTTAAAAATATGGATAGAATAGATTACAACATCTTCTATGAATCTGTAAATAGAATTGAAAAACAGTTCAATTTAAAAATTCATGATAAAGATTACATTTTTATTCGATATTGCATTTAAATCAAATTATTATTTTATTGATTTATTGAAATGCCGTGAGAACACAAGAGAAAATGCTCGACTTTGTCGTATTTTGAGAGTATTTCAAACTTCTTTTCTAGAGTTTCCTTGATGTTTCATGTTTATTTTCGATATTTATCGTAAACACGTTTGTTCAAATTCATTTTATGTAAGTCTATCGCATGCTTCAGCTCAAATACTACATCTTATGTTAGGACTTCAATACGAATGATGAACAACGGATTATTTGAGCTTTCTTGCATAGTAGATTCATAAAAAAAAGTGAATTCAAAAATAAAATCATCTCATAACATATGCTGAAAATAGACTTGAATCACCCAGCGGATTCTATAGAATAACTTTGACATAGCCTTGGGATGCAGCAAAAAGTATATTATTTTCATTTTTTTCTTTCTGTCTTGATAACCAGCCATTGATGATACTCCAGATTTGAATGACATTATTATAAAAACAGTATTAGCCACATGACATACATTGTTTTCATAGAAAAAGTGCTGTGTGTAATATTTTTACAGAAATGTAAAGTTTTATTCGATAGACGTATGTCAACTTCGTTTCTATTGACTCTACAGCTATTGATTTTCGTCTTGAGCTACAATTATTACTATGTACAAACATAGATTTTCGAGCGCATCTTTAAAATATGGATATAACAATATTTCATGTTATGTTTGAATCAAATGAATTCATGCCGATTGAAATATTTTATTGTTTTCTTCGTTCCGTTTACACAAACAAATTGTGCTTTCTAATCAAGTATTCTTCTCATGAGATGTTACGTAAATTGTATATGTATGTTTAGTACTGAAAATCTGGGTACACGTCACCAACCTATTGGTGCACATGCAGCTTTTCAATATTCGGAGATAATGGTAAAAGAAATCAATAAGAATAAATTTTAATTTTAATAATTATTTGTATTGATTATAGAATGTAGCATCCAATGCTGCACCTGATCGAATATTTAAAGTAGCGTTTATTGGTTTGTTAAATAGAAGTTAAATCTATTGCGATGTTCAAAATAAACTTTCTATATTTAGGTGATAGTGGAGTTGGTAAAACAAGTTTCATTCAACGATTTTGTCAGAATCAATTCACAGAAACATTTTCAGCGACACTTGGCGTTGATCTGCAAGTTAAAATGCTCAATATAGATGATCGTATTATAGCCTTACAATTATGGGATACTGTAATTAAATATATTTCTTGATTTTTCTCATTATTAATCTTCATATATATTGTTAGGCTGGCCAAGAGAGGTTTCTAGAAAAACTGCTATTGCTATTGTTGTTATTCTTTTAGTTAATACTAGATTTCGAAGTATCACTAAACAATATTTACGTAAATCTGATGGAGTTATTCTTGTTTACGATGTTACATGTGAAATAACATTTCAAAATGTTCGTTCATGGATGTCAAGTATACAGGTATTTGTTTTGGTGAAAACTTGCTTTTCTTCTCTTAATTACATAAAATATAATTATAGGAATCAACTGATGAGGATTGTACTCTAGTTCTTGTTGGTAATAAGATTGATTTATGTGCTGATGATGAACATCGACCTGTTAAATATAAAGATGGATCAAGATTAGCTAATGTAAATTTGATGTATTTTCTTGCAATAAAATACATATGTTTGTCTATTTTGTAGACATGTCGATGCTTATTCTTTGAAAGTAGTGCTCGATTAGGTATATCAGTGCTTGAAATAATGGAAGCTGTCGCTCGGTAACATTTTAATAACGATTATATTTTTATTTCATATTTTCTTTTTTTGCAGAGTAATGCAAGAAAAAGACGATAGACTACGTAAAGGGGAAAACATTGTAAATCTATCCTCTAAAACAAAGAAAAGTGGCTGTTGTTAATCAAAATTAATAATTTATTTTTTCTTATATGTATATATCTCGGGCAATGGTATTTTGTAATAAAAGCCTCCAAAAGATAAAAAAACAACAACAACAGAACTCGTATTATAATGATCATGAATAAATATGTAGCTATATAATGCAACCTTTAAATAGAAGAGTACCAGTCTAAGCAAAGTATTTGCTTTAAAGATCAATTTATCGCTGGCCGAAAAGAGATAACTACGTTAAATAATAATGGTTAATCTTCGGCTTGTTGTGTTGTCAAGCGAAAGCGAACAGAAGATGAAAGTTGTTGTACAGCGCGACCGCATACTATATCGTATGAAGTCCTTGTAATTGCATGAATAACTTTGCCTCGTATCGATAAACAAATTTCCAATGATGATAGTGATTGCTTTAGGCAGGGCTGGCTACGTGGGGCGGGGGGGAAGATTTTCTTGTGTGTTAAGTTGCCAATTGTCAGTCATCTAGAAAGAGATACAAATATATAGTTATACTACAAAAACAATTCGGATAGAAACAAGCTGCTGTCATCCCATCCTACTGTGTTGGATGTTCTTCTTCATTTGTTGAATACAATGCAACTTTTTATTATTACTATTGTATGTGCTACTATGTTAACCATTTATTGTAATTCATCTGAAGATATTGTACAATGTAATGATCTTGTCATCAATCATGAGAAACTACAACAAATGAATACCAAAGAACAAGAAGAATTTGTAAATAAATCATATTTTATTGCATGAAAATTTTATAGAAAAAGTTTCTAATAGAACCATCGATAAATTTTTAGCAGAAGTTTCTAACAATTCGACTCTTTTTCTTTTTGAATTGTGGAGCAACATGAGTATTTATGTGTTCACTCAATAGAAAAACTTGTCAACTGCGAAGACTTTATTTCTGATGGGCCGTATGAGATATACTGCTTTGTGTAGGTTATAATTAGTGAATAACAATGAGAACATAATTGAAAAAGAAGGAAACATTCAAACTAGTGACTTTTAGTGTTCGTTCATAAATTTCTAAATTTTCTATTTCATAACTTTGTTCAATTATAATCATATCGAGACTACAAAATCAAAGATTTGCTTTCAGAGTAATTCTTTTTATCGGATCGTTTTATCCTATGTTATCAAATAATGAGTAATCTAATAATAATATTCAATGACCTAACTATTTCATTATAATTAACGTTAGTGAGATTTCGATCCTAGGATTTTTCTACTCAGATTTTTACACCAGATATAAATCTACTTCATTGTTGATCATAAAAAGATATTTATTTGCAAATAAATATTATACTCGATAATATTTAGTAATATTCATTTACATTAAAGTCCCTTGAACTAAATAGAATTCAAAATTTTCGATATTTTTATATATTTAGACTAAATCAGTTATGGCAGAATATGACAAAAATTTAACAGATATTGCTTATATAACGTCGGTAGCTGAATTTCAAACACATTTACATTTGAACGATTCAAGTAAAAAGCGTGCAATGGTAAAACTTTCATTTATTATGATTCATATTTTTAATTTTATTCAAAATTAGGAAAAATATTATGAAACTTATCGTGTTTGTCTGAAAAACATTGCGATTATTGGACGACAATTACAATCACTGATCAATAGTAATCAAACATCGATACGTTGGTTATTACAACGTACACAAGCCATTGGTGAAGCCGGAGAGAATAATACAGTTAATAAATTTGAAATACAAAAGCTAAAAACTTCTATCAAAGAAATGTATCATCGAAAGTTTATTTGGAATAGTACACAATTAGGCATTGATGGTTTGTTTATTTATTTTATATAGGAAGAAATGAAGTGGAAGATCATTTTGTTGTATTTTCTAGAAGTACAAGAAATTCTTGGTACACTCGAATCACCTGATGATCTTCTTTCACTATGGAATGCAACTTATGAAGTAGCGATGCCAATGCGAGAGAATTATTCAAAGTTAATTGCTGCACAAAATCAACAGGCCAAACAGAACCGTATCTCATCAGTAACCCATTCTCATATCTAATCTTCGCAGTCATTTTAAAAGCGATCTAAGAAAAAGAAATTTAAAGGATATTATCGACATATATTAGTTAAAATATTTGCAAACATTATATGCAAAGTAGAATAAGTATCACGATTTATATATATATTCTAAGCCAGTTTAATATGCCTATTTTATTATTTTTGATTACATAGTTCAGATACTATTAATTTCTGACTGTTACCAGAAAAATTCGGCACAACTTTGTTCCTTGTATTCTTATTGATACAATGTATAGGCTGGTGCAGCGGAAGTCAGAAAAATAAGCGTGATAATGGTCAATGCACAAATCTTTAGTACTGTATATTTGGACAATTTTTCTAATCTGTGAGATTATAAGTGTGCTTTCAGAAATCAGTGAAAACGAAATGAAAAGAAAACTAAATATTTCGAAAAGAACCTGACAGATAATTTATATTCGTCATCCGAACATATTATCTGTCATTAATAAGTTTGTCGTTAATATTCTATCACAGTTGTAGACGTTTTCATGCACGATTCTATTTCATTACATTAGCAGCTAGATACAGTACTCCTATTTATTTGTTAGCTTCTTTCAAAATCACTAGCTTCTAACAGTATGTAAAGAAAGTCTATCGTTTCTCAGCTCACGTATTGTTTACGAATAGAAATAAATTATTCCTGCCTCGGCATATGATGAGAAAACCACCAATACGTTCTTTTCTATTCTGTTTAGAAAATTAATAAGATTTGATTTCAGCGTAGAAATGTTTCGCTTAGCTATTTAAATCAAATATTGGAAGTACGCATTGCTAATTTTCTTAGATCAACTTGCAATCAATTTTTTCAAATTAAATTCTGTTTGTAAACATTTTAAAGTTATGTCGAATAATATCCTAAGACAATCGATCAACTCGTAGAACAAGTGAAAAGAGATTGATAGAAAGCAAAGTATCATGTCTATAACAGAACAGATTCATGCGCATCTGTATCAGTAAAATGAATATTTTCTAAAAATAACCATGGAGAAATTTACTAACTGTCCTAACTTGTGTCTGTTACCGATTTAAACAACTCTTGAATATTTCTTTTTCGTCCAAGGTTTAAACGAAAAAAGTGAGTCAACATCGAATATGGAGGAACGCCGTGTAGTTGAACAATTATGGCAAGAATTGAAACCACTGCATCGTCTATTGCATGCTTATATAAGGCAAAAACTGTATAAACTACATCCAAAACATATTCAATTAGATCAACCTATTCCAGTTCATTTAACAAGTTTGAAATTAATTAAAAATAAAATGATTATTTCAAAATTTGCATATTTCTTATAGAAGATATATTTGGTTCAATGATGACTTATCTTATGAAGGATATTCTACCATTTCCTCATCTCAAAGGAATCGACTTAGGTCCTGTGATGAAACAAAAGGTCCGTTAATTTTTTCATCAAAACCTATCTCTTTATTTGAATTATGTTTTTTGTTTTGTTTTTTACGATTAGAATTTTACTGAAGAAAAAATTTTTCAATATGCTGATCAATTTTTTGTGTCATTAAATTTAACAAAAGTATCAAATCATTTTTGGAATTTCTCAGTATTTAAAAAAATCCCAGGTCGTCCTATGTCTTGTCATCCGACTGCATTTGATATGTACAAATATGATGATGTTAGGTTGGTTGAATCATATTATTACTATTTTCTGATTTTCTTTTCTTTTCTTTTTTTTGTCTGACATAACTTCTGAATTGAATATAGGTCGATCATGACGAGTATGTAAGGATTGAACTCCGAAGTAGGAAGTCTTGCTTTTGTCCCATTGTGCCATATACTCTTAGACGTGTGAGTCGTCATTCTGAAAGGCGCGACAAACATTTAAGCAACAGTTTAGTTCATCTAAAGATTCAGTAAAAAGATGCTGAAGGATCTTTCTCAATCTAGATAGAATAAAACAGTTTTCGTATGTTGATAAATAATACTTGAATCGTGTTTAACATAGGAGTCTTTCAAGGTTTGCACTGGCAGGTTTTTATTATTGATTTGATTTAGAATTCGAATGTGTACAAGTTTAACATCACGTGATTTCTATGTTGTTCATCATGAGATGGGTCATATCCAACATTACCTACAATATAAATCTTTACCATTTTGGTTTCGGCGTTCGCCACATGGTGCTTTTGGTGAAGCTATTGGTGATGCAATTGCATTGGCTGCAATGTCACCTACACATTTAAAACGTATTGGTTTATTAGAAAATTATGCATTGTCGAAAGGTTAATTGTTCTCGTTGAACAAAACTACTGACATATCCTCTTTTTCTTTTCATTATAGAGGACAATATAAATTTTCTAGCTTCACAAGGTTTAAGTCGTCTGTTTCTACCACCATATGCATACGCACTTGATATTTGGCGTTGGTCAGTTTATAATGGGTCAATACAACCATCTGAATACAATAGACGTTATTGGAATCTTGTGTAAATTAGATTATCTCTCATTCAAAACTGATTTTTCAGCACACCTCAATAGACTTTGTTCTATCTAATCAGTATCATTTATTTTTTTTCTGAAAAAGCTTTAAACTGCATCTAATTTTTAAACGGTTGAAAAATAAATCAGAATTTTATTAAACAAATTCTAATAGTTTTTTTCTTTTTTATAGCTGTCAATATCAAGGTATGAAACCGGCTAAACCTCGTGATGAACAATATTTTGATGCTGGTACTAAAATTCATGTTGCTTTTGATTTATCTTATATTAAGTAAACATAATTTTCTAAAATAATACATATGTAAAACTGGCTTTTATTTATTTTATGTTAAGATATTTTCTTGCTCATGTTTTTCAATTTCAAATTTTCGATGTACTGTGCCAAGAAGCAGGTTATCAAGGGCCATTACATTTGTGCGATTTACATGGTTCGGCTGCTGCTGGAAACAAACTCAAGTAAACTTGTTGATTCTGATGTTTCTTGATAGTCAAAGATTTAATTTAGAATATTACTTGGGCTTGGCTCATCAAAACCTTGGGAGGATATATTAGAGGAATTCGCTGGTGTAAGAACATTTTCCGCTAAATCCTGTTTACGATATTTTAAACCACTGCAAGATTATCTTGAGTCATTGGTTGAACAAGGTCAATTAAATGTTGGATGGACTTGTAATAACGATAAGAATGATGCAAGACGAAAAACATTATCTCGACGAAAATTTTATTTGCTTATATTTATGAATTTTATGTTGTCGATTAGTTTATTTTAATTTATAACTATGAAGAATGAGATTTTTTTGCATTTCCTATCAATATTTCTAATTTTTTTCTAATTTTCAAACATATTATATACGTAGCATGAGAAATAAATATAATACCTTCTGTATTAAAATAAAAATAAATGAATTAAATAATTATATTCAATGAAAATAAATCGCTTAAATGATTTTTGTATTTACTCTGTGATAATGAATTAGCTTTCAAATCTTTTTGAAGTGCTTTTTTTTATCGAGCGATTGAAATTTATTCGAAGGCAAAGCAATTATTTTGTCATTAGATATCTAAATTTTACTGTATGACGCACTATTATCGAACCATATCTTGTTTGTATAAATACTGACTCATTCTGCAAGGAAATGATCGCATTGTAAAAATATAGCTTATGAATAGCATATTTTCATAGAAAACATCACGCGGCAATTACTTGTTCATTGAAGCATAACTATATAGTATCATTTGCATATTTCTTACACAGTATATGGGTAATATAGATAGTGTCTCTTTTCGACATTCTTCATCTGTTCGAACATCTTTGAATTCCATAGCTCCTCTATATCAAGCATGTCATGATGGTGATGAAGAACGAGTTCGAACTCTTTTACAAAAATATTCTTATGGTGATTTAAATCAACAAGAATTTTCATATGATGGCAACACATGTCTGCATGTTGCTGCTGCAAATGGCCATGATAATATTGTCCAACTGTTACTTAAGCATGGTTGTTATCGGTCGTCTATTCTTAACTCACAGAATCAGAGTGCTTATGAAGTAGCAGCATTGAATAAGGAATCTACACGTTTGTTATTTCTTCGTCACGAAGAAAACAATTCATTGTCGAAAGATTCTTCACGCTTTTTTGAACAAAATGCATTGGACTGTTTTGATATCATTAAAGTTGAAGATAATTTAGACAACGAACGTGACAATGATAGAACGTCAGCAACAGTGCAAGCAACAACGAATGTACAAACATTCAAGACTGAAGAAGAAAAACAACATGAAATTGAATATTCTGCAAGTTCAAAAGCTATGTGTCAATCACGTTTTTGTCGTTTTTGTGTTAATAATTTTCATTCTGATAAGCCCTTAGATCATCGTTCGATAACGAAACGCTTAAATAATTTATTAGAAGAAGTTAAGATCAGTAATTCTGATGATTATGCCAAAATAGATGATTTAATAAAGCAATATGAACAACAAGAAGATTTCATCGAACAATTGCTTCATTTATATACGCTGGAAACAAAATTTTATCATATATTAAGAACAGATTGTTTACCATTAGCGATACCATTATTTATACATTTACCAAAGTTAAGAGAACGATTTTTTAAAGGACGTGTTTATCGTGGTATGCATATGACATGTGAGCAATTATTAACCTACCAAATAGCTATGGAAATACCAGGAACAGTTTTACAAACACGTTCATTTTCTTCAACATCTATGAATCGTTCGGTTGCCGAAGAGTTTGCATATGTGAAAAAAAAAGATAATGATAAAGAACTTTGTGTTTTATTTATATTTGATTTTCCTGATGTTTGCGATCAAGCTATTAATCTTACTAGAATATCAACTGATAGACCGTGTTTAAGTGAATATGAAAATGAACGAGAAGTACTTATTTTACCATGGACTTTATTTGAAGTAAAACGTGTACGAAAAGCATCCGATGAAGATGATTTATGTACTATACATTTAACAAATATTATAATTCCGAAGAAAAATATTTTCTCAACATTGAAATGGAGTTATGCTGAATTTAAAAAGAAAATCATCAAAGAAAGAAAATTGCAATTCGATTGTGCTTTTCAAAAGCATAAAACATCATTGAATAAAAATTAATTCTTTTTGTTTATAAATATCCTAGTTCTGTTGTTTACATTCTAATATATTCTTATATTATGCATCTATAATTGGACTGCACATGTTGACATCGTCCATGTTCCTTGACATTTTCAGTTCTGTTTTCTAATTAGGATGGAGCAAAGTTGTTTTCCTGAAGGAATATACCGAACAAAAGGGATAAGTCAATATTCGTCAAAAACATACAAATCAATACAGACAGTTGAAAAGTATCTTAAGGCATAATCTTTCACATACGAAATTTCGTTTTATTCGATTCATTTTGTGTTTGTCAAAAATTATGATGATTATTATTAGCATTGCATTTTTATATTTTATATTTTTTTCCTACTCTAAAGTTACTATACAATAAACAAACTAATGTTCTGTTCTTGACATTATTTTTTCGTATGAATACGTTCCGATACACGACTTTAATAATGACCCATGTTAGGAATTAATGATTGTTGAAACAAAAGGTACAGTGGCATTCAAACAGTTCTCTAATATTTACTTAATCAAGTAATTTTAAAACACACAGATACGTGCAAAATATTATGATCGATTCATCTCTTAGTTAAACGAAATCGATATAATTACTTTTCTAATTGCCCAGCAGAATAGTATCAGTTCAGTTTGATTGATATCTTTAAATCAGCTTTTCAATTTACTTCATTATGTTTTATTTAATCAAAATCATGTCGATAATATTGTATGTTAAAAGTAACCAACTCTGTAGCATAAGAAGAAAACAATAGACATTCGGTAAAGTATCGTAAATAAGATCTTTTAGAATCTTAAATACAACAGTTCTAACTAGACTCTAAACTGTGCTTTTCAAAAATTAATTATGTAGCTTCTAGGCTATAAAAATAAGATCTACAAATCAGAATTTATCTGTGTAAATACATATATCTGTAATAATATAGTTATCATATGATAAGCATGACTCAAATGACGATCTGAAAACTAACAGTCTAGAATAACAAAAACCAGGCACACTTAAGTATTAGAACATAGATAAAACAAAAACTAATTAGTATAACAAAATCAAGAATATGAAATTCCATAAACGATCGTATTTCTTCTTATCATGTACAGATAAATACGATGATACCATTTAGACGAGTAATACAAAACATATATATATATATCACTATTTATGATCAATTACGAACTCAATTAATCGATTTGCAATTTTTCAGAAGTAGTCATCATTCATGTTCATCTATTGAATCTTTTATTTCAAGATAAAATAAATCATTTCGCTACAAGTGATAGAGTTAATCTGATTGATTATGGTTAGTTGTATTGATTTGGATGTTATTTGTCATAATCAATCCATATCCCGAGTATTGGTTGCTCTATTTTAAGCATGAACGAAGCAGTTGAAAATTTTTCTGTGACAAAATGAACTTCATTTGAAAGATATGTAGCATATTAAAAACTATTGTTCTTTAGATGATACATACTAATCAGTTTTATGAAACAAATCGCTCTTATCCGAAACTTTGCTTAACGCATATTTTATATTGAAAACAGCTTGCATGTATGCCTATATTCCGTCAATATGACATTAATAAATCAAGCTGCGAACGTAAACAGTACTCTACATGAATATTCATCATCTGTGGTGTCACCTGTTGGAGAATAGGAAGGAATTGCTTTTCGCCTACTTCCCGATTTCGAAAAACTACATTCAAATAACGCACCATCTTTCCTAATTTTGAAAACTTTTCTTTAACGATATTCTTTTTGTTGAACTCAACCTTTCAATTCTATTGTTGTGTCCATTACTCAGTTCGAGTTTAAATCGTCATAGATATGAAGAATTAATTCCGTTACAATTTCAAAATTGCTGGGCGACCCATCACTAGTTACAATTGTTCTTACAGTATTTGTTGAATCTTGAAAAGTCATAGGATTGCCATAATTTAAACGTTTTCATTTAACTCTTTTCACATAATAAAATGACTTTAAAAAAAACTTATTTTGATCAAAAAAGAGGTAAAAGAAATATTTTGCATATACAAAACAGAAATGGCATGAAGTACTGACAATTAATGCATAGAAAGCGCCGAAAGAAAAAACAATCAATGAAATTAACTCAATTGTGAATTATAATGACGTGAATATAATCGTTCTATTGGGACAGATTTATCACGTATAGATGGAGCAGAAAGTAGAATCATAATTGAACCAGTAATTGTTAAAATAATAAATATTATTAAAAAACATCGATCTATAACAAGTGCAATGAATCGCCAGCCTTCTCTTTCCTAGAATAAAAAAAAAGTATAATTTTTGTATTTTAACTCGATTTATATTTAAAGAAAAAACTAGAATTTCAATACGAACCAAATCATCTTTTTGTGATTCACGTTGTGTTTCACTAATGTATCGAATATCTTTTATTGCTTGTTGAATTATTGGTGGATACTTATCAATTGATATTGCTTTAACGTAATTATTTAATCGGTTTAGATTATTATTGCCACCATTAATGGGTTCTTCTTTACCGGGATCGTCTTCCGTTTGTAGTATAGCATTAGCAATATGTGGCTTTGCCATAAATATAAATGGTGGTATTATTTGAAAAAACCAGCGTTTAACCCAATTAGGCATATGGTGTGTATTTGGATGACGCCAATGAATATTTAATGTTATTATTGTTATAAATATAGATGCATTGACAAGTACTAATGTAAAAAATAAATAGGTTCCAAGTAATGATATTGTAAGTGATGTTGGAGGTATAAGATCAATCAAAAGAAGATAAAAAACTTGAAGTGCGACAAAAATCGAGATAGATAGAGTTAATTTTTCACCACAGTCGCCTAATTTTTTTAAATAGAAAAAAAAAAGAAACATTTAATTCTCGGTATTTTTTGTCTTTTATTTGTTACTTACTAGGTAAGCAAAAAACAAGAATAGTGAGAAATGCAATATTCACACATGGAATAACAAGATTAACCATATAAAAAAGTGGTTTACGTCGAATATATATAGCGAATGTTACATCATAATATGGATCATCTTTACAACAATCGTAAATAAGTACATGACGTACAGCAGCCTAAAAATATCGGAAAGTTATCAAATTAATTAGTATATTTTTCCTATAGTAAGAATCTCTTTACCATAGAAGCCTACAATCAATGTAGATATTTATTAGAATATTGTTAAAACATTGTTATCATAGTGATTAAGACTTTCGTTAGGTCGGATAATTTTTATGTTTGAAAAAAGAACATAGTATGAAAGAAAACTCGAGTTATTACTTATTGAATCGTGAAAGTAAATTAAGTTCTTGGGTACTTAATGTTCTGCAAGGTCATCATTTCTTTGCATAGATTCTCATGAATAACTTACTCCCAGATCGATTTCAAAGTGTCATATCAGTGACTTTTGTTAGTTACAGTGTTCTATTTCAATAACCCTTACAATGTCACTACTTGTGCTTGAGAACACATGTTGGCATTGTGTGTAATTGAATTATGTTATTAAGTCGGAAAGGAAGTTTTCAAAAATTTCACATAGAACTAGTTTTCTAATTGTTAAGAAAAGCAAAATTTGAAATATATAAAAGAAAATCTTTGAGTTTTAAAGATAAATTTCAATGAATTTTATTTAGTTTTATCGGCTAAAACTTTTATGTTTAAATCGATTAACCAATAAGAATCGTAACAAATGAAATTTATCTTTACTGTTGAATTTTATCGTATTCAACCAATATCAATGTTAATAAAATTCTAGTTCCAAATAAAAGCTCAGTCAAGTTATGGTTGACTGGCCATCAAGACATAAATTCATCTCAGCATGAAGAAAATCCACATTTAATGAATGGAGACAAATCATTGATTTTTTTATTATGAGATTCATTTGATGAAATATTTAGATTTTTTGGTTTACATATACACTTTAGTAAAAATCAATCATTAATAAAGTTAAATGAAATCATGATAAAAATGAGTGAACATAAATTCATGAGTTTTATTCAATCATATCAGTAATTTTTAGATAAATGCAATCTTTTAGACCATTTCAAATAGACTTTTTTTTATTTTAGAATTCTTGAATAAAATAACAATATGCAATTTAAATTTCGTCTAATAGTCACTCACACTCGTAGCCGCAAACTTTCGAATGAATTAAAAACTAATCTTCATACGACAAGAAACATGGATAATATATTCTAGTTCTATCAATTTATTTTAGTACGAAAACTGATCTTCTCCACAGTGGAACTTATATACACAGGAAATATGATATGTATTTATCTCTATTTATAAAACAAAAGCAGCTCATCATATCGTTAAAAGTAATGAGCACTTGATAGTCAAACATTGATTGTGTTTGAAAATCGATCAATGTAAAAATGAAACCAAGATATTTTTCTAGGACGGATAAGTCTATTATCAGATTCTAATTTAACTTTAATAGAGTTTCTGTAGAATCTAATGAGTCTCATGAAAAATTCTAGAAACTCTATCGTATCATCCGATTAGAATCTAACTAAATTCTATCGCAATGATCGATGTCGAATTGATTCTCATTTGAATGATTGCATCTGAATTTGTTCTTTTGCAATCACTACATACGTATTTCTTAATAAAAATGATAACACTTACAACTGAAAGAATATCCCATTCAATTGATGGATAATAATCAGTAAGATCTACGCCGACATCAACAAGAATTAGCCCTGATTTATGATTAAGATCAACCTATATTTGGAGAAAAAATAAAGATTCATTTTCTATTTTCGTATTCATCATTTCCATCATACTAGATTTCCATTGTGAGTCCATGTACCAAATTTTAATGTACAATTTTGTATATCAAATGGATAATATTGAATATTAATAGGACAATAAGATTTATAAATAACAGGAGGATTCCATTTTATTGTTCCATTCCAATGCTTGAAAGTGAAAACCGCAAAAATTCTTTAATATATTTCCAAAGACATTTTACTTACAACATGCGCTTTCGTTATCGTATTAACTTCATAGGTTCCATCTGCATTATTATATAGAACAATATCAGGCACCCAAATATCAGACGATGGAATTTCAACAACTTCAATTCCACCATATTGATTTGGATCCCAAGTTAATTTGTAGTCTGTCCATTCCTGAAAATATAAAAGAACAAATTATCTTCTTTTGAAAATAATTCAATGGAAATTACTTACATGTTCCAACCAAACATTTGTTGTCATGATTTGATTTCGTTCATCGATATCAGATAGTTGTGATAATTTTAATCCTAATGACATATTTACTAATTGATTTACTGATTGCACTGGTAAAACATTTTTATTATAATCTTTCATTAATTGATGTAAAAGAAGTTTAGCTTCAACATTGCCATGGATTTCTATATAGATATATAAATATATAAATATATATTTATTTATAATAAAGATATTATGGTAGCTTCTTGGCATTTAATCTTACCGTATATTTCGTTGATGAAAAGAAAAATAATTATCGTACAGAAGTTAAGCATGATCCTACTGATAATTGCTTTATCCAGCAGTTAGTTTGACGACAGACCAACTACACTGTGCTAATGATCTACAGTTTATATCTTGTATTTTACGAGACAATAAACGACGATCGATGGAAAGGCAACAGCAGTAGTAGACGAATACGCATCAGAAAAAGAAAAGAAAAGAAAAGAGAAGAATAAGAAATAAGGAACAACATTCTTTTCCTCTATCATCACTCCATTCCTTAGAACACATGTACTATGGTTATAACGACGTAAACTGTGACAATATGTGTATGTTACGGTTTCTTTTTCCTTCTTCTTGTTCTTCTTCTCCCTCTTCTTCTGCTTTTATAATAACATTTAACCCTTCTGTTTACTTACTCAATTAGATCAAGAAGAGTTAACTTTATCTGAATGAATAGTAGCAAAGATGAAGTTTGCTTCTCTATCGTATGACTCTCTCGAGGAGCAAATGAATCGTATACGTCATATCAACAGTATAGGCGATGCAATCGATTTTTGTCTCCTTCGTGTCACAGAAAAGAAAAAGAAAAAAATCCCGAGAAAAGACACAAGTAAGAAAAAAAGAAAAGAAATAGTCCCAACTCAATGTATCGTAAATGTCTCTTCCTTATTGTTTGTTGTCCTGGTAAATCGCATTGATAAGGAATCATCTAGATGGTGCTGAATATATATATATATATATACAAAAGAATACTGATATAGTGGAGTACGAATGAAAACAAAAGCGAATACATTTGATTTCTTATCAAGATGCCATTTTTTTTTGTCAATTTCATTCCGAATCTATTGCAAAATTCATGAACGTTTTATATAGAATAAAGATTAAGAGGGTTTAAAATCTTAGTAAATAGATAGAGTATACAACAAATAATCGAATGTTCTCTGCTGATTAGAGCAATCAGAGAAAAAAAATACCAATGGCAAGATTCTGCTTTATTTATTCCATATAAAAACTCTCAATATTTGTAACCAAAATGAATATATAGTCTATAAATTGGAATAAACTAATTCTATTGAATCTTTCCGTACAAGAATTTGGTCGTTTTGATTTCATATTATCTTAGCCTTATTGCTTATAGGCTATTACTTTATAATTTTTGAGGCAAACCATATTATTTTGACTGCTCTTGTCTTGTTTACTACGTGTTTTGATGGCACGAATTCATGTAACTTTGGATAAAAATAAATGGATCGAGATTTATTGAATGAATATAGATAAAAAAAATTGTTTTGAATGCGACCTATATTACATTGTTCAAATAGATTGTGCTAATAAATCAAAACAACAATTCATCTGAACTATTTCAATTTAAAAGTTGTTATCATTTTTTTCCGTTCTATTCTGATAATAATTACACATAGAAAGCAACCAAAAATAGAAAATATAATTATTATCGATATCGTTTTAATGCATCTCGAGAGATTATTAAACGCATTACTTCATTTGTTCCTACAACAAAAAATAAAAATAAATGATTACATCATAAGTTTCGTATTTTAATTAACCTTCAAGAATTTGATGAACACGACAATCGCGCATATATTGTTGAACTGAAGTTGATTTTATATATCCATAACCACCATGCATTTGTAGTGCTTGATTACAGATCTAGAAAAAAATTATTCTGCTATAATACATTAAACTAAAAGATTTTCTATTTGATCCGTTTTATCAAAGGTTTACTTTTAGTCTCTCTGCTAAATATTGACTCTACATCTATATTTAATCTATTCAGTTGCGCATACTTTCAGATGTGTTCTCTTTTGTCTTTTCAGATAAGATCATAATATAATCATGAGTTTTAAAACAATGTTCCAATGGTGGAGCATGAAACTTTTTCAATAGAAAATATGAGTGATACATGAAATGTTAGATTGAAGTTGAGAATTTTTCTTAAAATTAGAACTAGGATTTAATGTCCTATCATCGTGGGGTGTAAGAATGAGCACTGTGGATTTAAATTCAACTGAAGCAAAGAAGTGACCAATACGTTGAAGATTAGATTTACCATGTGTTCTTAAAGTATGCTGTATATTCTCGCTCGGAACATGAGTAAATACTGAAAAATGATATTTTGGTTATCAGTAGTAGAAAATTGTCAGATGCAAAATCTCAAACGTGTACTTGTCAACTGTTAAAATCATAGAAATTGATTGAAGTTTCTAAAATGGGCTAAATTCGAAACTCTAAGAACTTCGTCAAGATCTATCATTTTTGTGTACTCAAAAAGTGAGTACACTCTAGAATCGGTCAGTGTGTCCGGCCGGCCGTAGGCACGATAGCTTGCGAAAGGAGAGTCAGAGCGTGATGAAATTTTCCACACAGTTCAATCTCATGAATATCTCGGTCGAGTTCGAAGATGAGAAGGATCCCTCAAGAAATGATTGAGTTATTGAAAACATTGTCATTTTTGACCAGGCCCTCCCTGAGGAGGAGTACAGAGAAGTTTTTTCAAAAAATAAATCTTTCTCAGAACTATTCACAACATATATAAATCGACTCAGTTTTTAACGCTGATTCCGAATCTGATATTAGTTTTGAGCTAAACCGTAGCTTTCTGATGAAACATCGCCTGAAAAACGTCTCAAAATGCACAANCATCACCTGAAAAACGTCTCAAATGCACAAAAACTGCATCCAGAAATCAAATTGCCTAGTTTCTCATGATAATTTTCGTGTTCAGACATTCTAGAATGACTCATACATCCCATGCACTTCTTGCAGTACACATAACTTTCGGATGAAATCCGAAGTTTCCACATTTATTTAAATTTCAATTGAATTGAACTGACAATTGAAAAACGAGCTTTTTTAGTGGTAACATTAGCTTAGAGATAGTGGACACATAATGTTACATTTTAATCTGTTAGATGTTCTATCGTAAAATGCTACATATATGACAATAGAAATTCATTTCAATACTTACATCGAAACATGCATCTGTAGCGAATAATTTAGCCATTGAACATAGAGTGACTGTATCCGGTGAATTTTGATCAAGTGCTAAAGCAGCTTTTCGTACTAATAATCGACTTGCGACTAATTTTGTAAACATTTCGGCGAATTTGAATTGTAGATGCTTGAAAAAGATGAATGCTCAATGTTTAATAATTGCAAAAGAAAGAGAATTTCTATGAATATCTACCTGAAACTGTTCAAGAGATTTACCAAATTGTTTTCGTACTTTTAAATATTCACCAGTTTTTTGAATACTTGCTTGTGCAGCACCAAGTGAACAACTAGCTAAAATAGTTTAGATAAAAACGAATAATAAATTTCAAAAAAACAAGAAACAATTGTTTTATTTACCAATATTAATTCGACCACCATTTAAACCACGCATAGCTATTTCAAAGCCTTGACCTTCATTTCCAATGAGATTTTCAACAGGTACTTCGCAGTCATCCATAATTACTGGTCGTGTTGGTTGTGAATTCCATCCAATCTAAGAGAAAATTGTTTCATTGAACTTGGACACGAATGTAAAACAAACCATACTTTTTCTTCTTTTTTTCCAAACGATAATCCTGGTGAATCTTTTTCGACAAGTATACAGGATATACCTTTCGGTGTTTGATCACCAGTTCGACACATAACAAGATAAATATCACTTTCACCACCACCACTAATAAATGCTTTAGTTCCATTTAAAATATATTTATCACCTTTACGTTCAGCTCGTGTAGTTAACGAAGCAGCGTCACTTCCAGCTCCTAAACAGAATATAGAGTGATAAGAAAATTCATATATGAATCAACAGAAGAATTTGATTTCTTCTCATCAATATTTTTAAGACCTGCGATATCAGAATACTAAAGTTCTCAAATTAGAACACATAGTTTCTACTACGATCAACTATTTATTGCTACTGAATGGCGACTTACTAACATGAAATACTTCGCAAAAAATCAAGTACAATCATAGATATCATTGAAATTAAGTTGTCTCATGAAAATTAAGTTAAAAATAGCATTCCTACAGTACATATTTTGAATTATTAATAGAATTATAATCTCGCTATGAATCCGATCATTAGTTTTAGTTAATATGCGGTTGGCATTAAAATATATAAACCTGGTTCTGTAAGACAATATGAACTAAATAGCTCCATAGTAGCTAAGCGTGGAATCCATTTTGCGCGATTTACATCAGATCCAAATGTATCAATCATCCATGCGCACATACTAGAAACGAAGCGTAGTCATTACAAGAAAAGAAAAGTGTTATGCAATATTTTCTGCATACTTGTGTATGCTGAGATAAGCTGCCGTACTAACACAACCTTGCGATAGTGCTTCGAAAATAAGCGATGCATCCAGCCGTGTGCCACCAGTTCCACCGAATTCATCTCGACAATAAATGGCAGCAAAACCAAGCTGAGCTGCTTTACGAAGGGTATCTTTGGGAAAGTATTCCTGAATTTTCATATGTCAAAATATATTTTACAAATAAACGTAAATACTGCCTCACAGTTCGGTCCCATTCGTACATAAAAGGTGCCATTTCAGTTTGAGCGAATTGATTGGCCGTTTGTTGAATAGCTTTTTGCTCTTCATCAAGAGCATCTTCGACTATTCAAAATTGAAAAGTTAATGAGAAAGAATTTTATTTCTAATTTAAAGCTCACCGCTACACGTATGACTTATCGACTGATGTCTTCCAATATTCGATATCAGTGAGCCTCGTTGAAACAACGATAAATGTCGAAAAAAAGCTGTATTCAATCGATACATCTACATATATAATATTAATAAAAAAAATTGAATATTTTTATGCTACTTATTTAATTTCTCTTTACTACCAAACTTTCATTTTGTTTCATATTATTGAAAAGAGAAAAAAACTATTCATTCGAAATGTTAGTTTCCCAAAAAAAGGGATAAAGAATAAGAGAAAAACACGTTCATGGTAATCTAATCATTTTTAAAGTTGACATTCGTTTTCAACACACACATAAACAAACAAACAAGAACAAAAAACAGTTTTGCTTTTTGTCGCAAATATAGATCAAATTCAACAAGAAAATACTATAAGAAAAAAGAGATACACGGTGCAGACAGATAAATGTGAGAAAGAGAGAAAAAGATACATCTACATAATGAATATAGCAGATCAACATCGGTGCACAAAAAAAGAACGATTTATTCCGACGAGACAATAAGATACGATTTAAGAAATCAGTAGAAAAAAGAATGAATAAGAGAGATATGTAATTAAATATACATTAGAATTTTTCTTTTGATGGTATCCATACATAATCGAGTGATTGTTCCCGATCGATAGCTGCGCAGATATGATCATATACATCACTAAGCGTTTCTTCCTCAATGACAGCTAGAAGAAAAATAATTTTATTTATATTTCAATTTAGAAAAAAAATCGCTTTTGCATACTGGTAAGAAGATCGCCAAATTGTTGTTCAATTGTTAGTGCTCTTTCATACGTTTTTTGAGCACCGCCTTCATTTGCTTCTTCTCCCATATTATCTCTATAGGAAAAAGAATATTCTCATAGAAAAACATATAAGTAATAAAAATATTAAACTTACAAAATCCATTTGGCATCACGTGGTTTAACATAGATGGCAATAGGGAACATACCAGCTGTGATTAAACGTCGAATAGCATGGCCACTTACATCCAAAATACAATGTTTGGACTATAATAACAAAATAATATAATATAATTTCTTTCATGCACTCAATAGCTTACAGCATTAGCAACTTCTCGTACGGCACTAACACTTGTACCATAGAGATTTCCACCATATTCTCCAGCTTCAATGAATAGATAATTTTGAATATCTTTTTCCATTTGTTCACGTGATGAAACAAAGTAATATTCACGTCCGTCAACTTCTTTTTCACGTTTAGGTCTACTTGTATCTAAGATAACGAAAGAAAATATGGCGTTGTCTTTCAAAGCAATCTTTTATAGATACATACGAGGTACACAATTAGCAAATTTATCTGGGTGATCATTGAGAAGTTGATCATTAAGAAGCTCTTTAAATGGACCAAATATGATAATCGGTCTAGTATGATTTACTAAAAACAGAAATGAAACATATGATTTGAAAATGCCAATCTAAAAATTTCAAATAACAACTTTGATCCTATTAATTCATTCAAGAAATTTTCCCCTGCCATCAAACAACTATTTAGAGTTTATCTGTAACATCGCACTGATATTAAAGATAGATTTTACCGGAAAAATATTCTTCCAACAGACTGATATTTTACATCGATCAAGTTTAAATGATAGAATATTATTATTTTATTTTACTATTCGAATATAAGACTTCGAAAAATATTTACCTTCATGTTGAGTAACCATTTCATATGATGGCACAGGTTCGAGATTATCTGGTTCATTATCTGAATCATCGCCTGATTGTGCATCTTTTCTTTCTCCACTTTTTCCAAATAAGCCAAATTTTTTTTTCTTCTTCTTTTCTCGATCAAGTGTATTACTCTTCAGAAGCAGCAAAAAAAATACTTAAATTGAAATATTTTCACTTAAAATAATCACTTACTCGACTACTACTTCCTTGATTGAAGTTTACACGTTTTTGTCTAGCACGCTCTTTCTTCTCAACTCGTGATTTCGACGGAATTATTCCTAATTCATCTCCTTCGTGTCCATCAGTAATACGTTTAGCTTGCCACCATGAATCATCAGCTGCATTGGTTACATAAAGAATATCACCTGCACAAAATGATAAACCACGATCTCCCGGTATACTTGGATCTTTCGAAGGATCGTAATCAAATTCCGCACTAAAAATAGTTGATGTTTTGGTTTGTTCGAAGAAATTAAAAAACAAATATTTACCGAACAAAAAATTGTCGTTTTGTTGACGTTTTCAAACTACCTGTACTGCCAGCTATTTCACCAGTCATTTTACTTCGACGTTCGTCAATACGATTTTCAAAACGAATAAAATCTATACATTAAAAAACAAGCATTATATTGAAAAATCATTTGTTTTTGCTATACAAACCATCATATTTATAAATGACATGTAAATCAGCCGTCTCACCACAGTTTTTCAGCACTGTTGCTGCATCTTCATGAGTTACTCCACGAAAGTCAATATTATTTACCGATAATATACGATCTCCTTTATGTAATTCACTTGATTTATCTGCTACACCACCCGTTTGTATGAAGGATATATAAATACCTAAAAGCAAGAGCAAGAAATAAGAGACTGTATAAATATATATAGCTATATGGTATCGTTAAAGAAAAATCTACTAGTACACTTTGTTTTTCCACAACAGACATTAGTGTTTTTAAAGGAGAAAAATACACATGAGACAATCGACTCAAGTTGTAGAAGATTCATAGAGAGCAGCATGACTTCTTCCTTTCCCTATCTTAGTCTAATCAATAATGCATCCAGTAAATCTTGAAAAAGTTGTTTTCTTATGATTGGTAACGGCATTTCTTTTTCGAACGACTTATTCCTTATCTAGAAAGTTGATTTGATAACTTTTATGACTTACACTTGTTGACCTATATATCACACAGAATTTATTCAATTGATTAATCGCTACTGAGACACGACGACGACGACGACGACGACGACGACGTCTTTTATATTGATTCAAATGAACTATAAATACTTTGAAAAAGTTCTTCCCCTTAGCTTATTGCTACACTCGTACGATAGTTTATATTTGGAGGAAATGTTGTTTTCTCTTAACAGAACTTATCTTTGATTTCATACAAAAACAAAACTTAACGAGAGTTGTTCTTATCATGAAAACCTTCAGGTCTTTTGATTTGCAGTCATCTTAAAATCAAAATATCAAATCTGCCGATTTATATGCATGGTGTCAAATCTATACAATTATCCGAGATATTTCCGTAAATAAGACCAATGGTAAAAACGGAAATCATCATAAAAGAATCTTCTAATCCTTAAAATTTGACTCGATAAGCTAGTTTTTTTGTTGTTCTAATGTTTGTAAGTGTAATTATAGTATTTGGTTATAAAACGCCCCACAAATAGAATATCTTCGCATCAGTAAAATGGCATCGCAAAATCTTTTCAGAGTATGCACAGTTCTATTGAGTCCATAAAAATAGACATATTTTTGACTTGATATCAATTTATCAGTTGAAAGACTTTTCTCATCAGTTGAGCTGAGATATTTGACATCTTGTCAATATTTATCTCAGCGATGGTAGACAATAAATGACAGGCATTCGTTGCTTTCTCAAGATTAATATAAAAATACCTTCTTCTCCATCTCCACCAACAATATTGAAACCGAAACCAGTTGTACCACGACGAAGTACAACACGACGTTCCCTAAAAATGATTTTTCTCATCAAATTTGAATATTGATATATAAATCAAACTTACAATGGGGGCTCTCCTGGTTCATCATTTTGTATCGGTGAACGATGCCCATTTGTAGTTTGTATTGGTACATCTACTATTCCTGGAAAATCAGTTGGATGACCGACTAATAGAGTTATTGTTTGACTTTCATCACATGCACGTCGTATTGATTCAACAGCATGTTTATGTTCGACAAATTGTAAATCATACCCATTTTTCTATCAAGAAAAATGTTTTGATTTTCAATTACAATTTCTAGATATAACCATCTTACCAATGATTGCACATGCATAAGACGGTCGCCAACTTTTAATCGGCCATTTTTATCAGCGATTCCACCTGGGATAATATTGGTGATAAATATTCCATAATCCCTACAGAAAAACAAAAAAAATTCCAGTTTTTTGCCAAAATAAATAAATGAAGATCAAACCCTTTGACATGTTCGTGACTGATGCCACCAGCAATTGAAAAGCCTAAATGTGCATTTGGTGGCTTATTTAATTGGATTTCTTCCATAATAGGTGGCGCTAATCGCCGAATCAACTAAAAAAATAGCAAGCCATCTGTTACTATGATACTTCAAACAAAACTAATAAACTTACTAATGTGACATGATTACCAGCTGCTTTAAGTCCATCAACAGCTGCTTGATGTTCAATATGAGTAAAATCGACGATATTAACACGTAAAATGATGTCATGAAGTCTAAGCGAGAGAAAAAAAACGCGCAAAAGTTTATTTTTGATTTTCAAATGGTTTATTTTACTTCAATCGTTGATCACGATCAGCAAGGCCACCTTCGGTTATACGTGTAACAACAACAGCTGGTGAATCACTAATACAAGGTGTATCAGTTCCACCTGCAATTGAAAATCCAAGACCAACGCCAGGTGGCTTAAATAAAAGAAGAAAAGTACGTTTCTTTTTTTTTAAATTTTATTCTAGCAATTTATTTTTACTCGGTCAAGATCAATTTCGATTTCTTGCCAATGATCATCATAATTGAACTGTGTCATGTCAATCGGTGAATTCAACCCTGATGTATTCAGACGATTATTTTGAAGTCCATCTTGTACATCAGCTACTTGGGAGAAAGCTGTTGGTGTTACTTGATGCTTACTATTTTCTTTGATAGTGGTTGGCCGAGGCATTGTTGTATTATTAGTTCCTACTGATGCTATTATTGGTGATTCGATTGCTGGTGTACCATTCTAAATTAAACAAACACAAATGAGACATTTTCAAATTGAGCTTATATCGTAATAATTTTCATTTAATTGGCACATCTTTGTGTTACAATAGTTACACGATTCACATTGCTTTTCTCTTTTGATGCAGACAAAATAGAAAAGGTAATTCTACTGTTGACTATATCCCAGGCATCTAGATTTCTGTATACGATCTCTGAAATAAAATAACTGAATCAATCGACCTGTAATAGAGGATATTCGTATAATTAGTCTACTCTACAATATTTGTCTCAATGTATGTGTTTACTGATAGTCAATAAATTCTATTCGTATATTCGGCTAGTGCAATTCTACAAAATATGTTTCCTCTTATCTCTACTGAATCTTTTTTACTATACATCCAGCTTTTTTTCTTATGCTACTTGCGCAACCAGCACTAAATTTGATTAATCTCTTTCATGGACAAATGATTGAATGGATCGCAAAAAGATCTCAAGTATTGCTTACTGTCGTTTAGTTTTGTTTAATATTTTGATGGAATCTACGAAAGAGACGCTAATGTTTTTTTTTCCTGCGGAATTAAAAGATTGGTTGATCTAAAAACTAGCCTAGTTTTCGACAAGAAATATTCTCTTTATAATAACGAATAGCTACGAGACAAAAAGTAGGCATGGTATGTAATTAGTATCTCGAGTATTGATGAAACTAAACTTAGGGCTATCATTCTATGTCATATATAATTGTCAGTCTTTTTTTTAAGTAAGTCACATAAATATCAGTAAGCAGTCGATTTCATTCGAGTTTCGACTATGTCGAATAGCGTTAGATCTTAATTATAATGATCTTCGTCGAATAACAGATGCAAAAAGTTCGACTTCAATATTAGTCTGTTGTGATAAAGAACAATTTACTCGAATATTTCGATTCAGCATGGGTTGTTTTTCCCATTCATCAGCTAGATTTAGTGTGGCATCCATTTTAGCTGAACGATCACGTTGTTCATCAAGTAATATTGATTCATAGAATTCTTGAATATCTATTTAATTTAAAAAATAAATACATATTAAATATTAGATTGCTTGTCATTGAGCTAATCAATTTTAGTGTATTATTTACCAAGTAATGCTTGAAAAAGTCGGCTTTTAAAAACTTTGATAACTCTGAAAAAAAAAGAATAAAAATCATTGTTACAACTTCATATTTAATTGAAAAAAAACAATTTCTTTACCTATCTATGGCATTTTTTAAAGGTTTATCTTCTGGGGAATCAAGACGATTGTAATATTCTTCGAGCAATTCTAAGGCTCGGTAAGCGTCTAATAGAAAAAAAAAATACCTTTTGTTTTTATTTATTTTTTGTTTTATTTTTTAATTTACCTTGTTTCCGAACAGGCATGTTAACAATCATATAATTTTCATCTAGGTTGAAAAAAAATTTATTATCATGAGAAAAAAGAAAGCTTGAAGCAATTGTCAAATATCCAAGAAAAAAAACAGAAAATATGTGCATAGAGAGGATCCTCAGGGAAATGCCTGGATGAATATGATCAACATGGAATGTTGAAGATGAAAAATTCCATGATTGATCAATAATAGACGAAAATATTTTTTTTGTTGCTTCTCCTTAATGGGAAAAACCATTAATATTATTCATAGTAAGTTTTGTATGTTGTTCTACTGATGACATTGTTCAAATCTTCATCCTTTTATCGATCACCAAAATAATGGGATCATATTAACCACGAACGATAGAACGAGAATGAAGTTTATCGATGACAAAGAAAGTAAACAAAATCAGTCATAGAGAAAGAAAGAAGAAAAAAGAACAGAACAAATTTGACCAATTTTAATTCGTCACCACGCAGATCTCTATGTTCATTTTTATTTTTATGCATTTATTTTTACAAAGTATTTCTACTATATTTCAATAGTTAAATTTATGAATTTTATTCTATTGATTGATTCAAGATAGATGTCACTTACCAACGAATGCAAGCAAGTTTATATAGTATAGTATAATATACTATACTAGATTCGATTCTTCATCGAAAGATGACCTCTCCCCTCTTCTCTTGTAATATAAACGTCGAAAAGCTCTAGACGTTAACGCATAGAAGAAATCAATAATCATGAATGTTCAATTGTGTCTGTTGCAACTGTTTATATTTCTTTCTCATTCAGTTATAAATATAAATAGTTTCCGCTAAATATAAAATTTTTACTAATATCAATAGAATATTGGATGTGATTATTAGTAATCATAAAGAAAGAATGCAATATGTAAACTAGTTCCATTCATCAACTTTAGTTGTTACATAATAAACAGTTGCTCATTGAAAGCTAACATATCTTTGAAGGCTATAGCGATTATATCCAGTATATCATTAGAATTTTTCCCACATTTATGCTATGATCTTAGTGAAAAGAAAAATGAATAAACACTTCGATGAACAACAACAAATGACCCGAACAATATGAGTGATAGGGCGAATGACAAGCAGATAGATACGCTTGATTAGATCTAGCACGCTGCGTAAAAATTGTGCACTCAGCACATAGCTGTACTTCAGCGAATGATATTTAGTGAATATCACATATGTCTTGTATGATACTGTTGTTCTACAAAAATCTTTTAATCAAGTTTAATAAACCTCTGATCAATATTTCACAAAATAACCTAGATGCTAATGCTGATAGACAAAAAAAAATACACTAAAATAAAGAAACAAATCATATTAACTTGAACAAAAATCATACTAATAAATTGATGATGAGACTAATTTTTAGATTTTACTTTTTATTTCGACCTTAACATATCACATATATATATTTTTAAGGCAAGCAAACAAAATAATCGATTTATCACCTTCTGACATGTTTTCTGGATATTTCGATCAGTGGACCGAGCAAATAACAAATGATGATGTGAGATCCTGAATAACAATATATAATGTACTATTTGATAGTAAATATATAGAGTTACATCCTAAATTGAAGATGATATATCATTCAAAAGTGGTCAGTAGAGTGAAATGAGACTGCTACCAGTAGCTGTAAGGCCAATTAATACAGCTCCCACTTTGAATGGACAAATATAATGCATTGGTAATGTGAGACGACATGTACAAATATAACGATCAATCAGAGATAAAATTCATTCATAATTGTGGTAGCAATGTCAAACTAATTAGATTCCATTTATATAACCATTTTCCGGTTTATTGATGAAATTACGTCAACAGCTGAATGTATATAATGAGGTAAGAAATCAACAAATAGATTGATCATGTACATGAGTGATGCACATAGCATGTAAATGTAAATAGTTATGAATCGAAGATACGTGGAGTTGAAAAAATGTAAATACTAGTGGAAATTTATTCAACAACTACTGTCTAACAAAGTCAAGACTAACAATGATTGCTTTGGATTCAATGGCTGATACAATATTATTCAAGAATATTTTAATTTTATCTTGATATGAATAAGTATATTTTGTACGTTTAGAGATTACTGAGCGCTCTCATATGAAGATATTTGTTAATTGGCATGCCTGGAGTCAAATGTAAAATTCGTATTCATTCATTAGTCTCATTATACTAGTTACAAAAATACCTAAGGTAAACAATTTCACAGCTTGTAGTGTTAACTTCAGGAGAATTACTCTTCAGATAAATGAATCTTTTTATTAATTTCCTTGCATTGCTAACACAATTTTTTTTCTAGGGTTTGATTAACTTTTTGTTGATTATTGATCTCTTCTTCATATTCCGATTTTGTTGATAAACGTTGCTATGGGTTTATAGTTTGTTGTGAAGAAGAAGAAGACTTCGAAATATTGTTGAATTCTTTAAAACATTCTAAGTCTTGACATTAATATCATTCAAAATCGTTTCCAGTCAATAGAGAACTATAAGAAAAGAATCTGATGTAGTTTGCAAAAATCTAAAATAATGGACACTAAACTTTGACTGAATATTTATAATCGCTATTTTATTCGGAAAGTTATACCGGTTTCATGATAACAGCCTTTAATTCAGACTATTCAGCTATGCCGTTTAGACTAGAATGAATGGGCTGAAAAAATTTATTTTTATTTAAGGAGAAATTCGATCGTTCTGTAGATAAATTATTTTTAAGTGCATTTTCTCATAGATATAGACTAACTTAAGATGGAGTACAAAAGAAAATGACAACAATAACATGTTCATAGCTACTATCCTGAAAACAAATAATAACAAATAAAATTATTCACATAACATTTTGATCAATCACTGACTTATTCATTAGACTATATTTTCCAAAAATAAAAGCACTTCAGTTACTAACGATCACAATTTCATTACTTGATGTTTTAATAGGAAATCTCAGATAGTTACTATAGTTTAATAAATCGTTCATTTGATAGGAATTGTTTGTTTAGTAGTGAGAATGAACCATTAAAAATCCAAAGTCTATAATCGATTTATTGATGATGATCAATCAAAAGTCGAAATAATAAATTTCTAATCTTTTATTTGACAAAATTTTCAATACTATTAAATCGTCCTAAGAAGCTCGATGTTATGATAGAGTTAGATATTTTTGCATTACATTCTACCAATTGAACTTGAATGTATTAGACAAATAGGGTTAACAGTAATCATGCCTATTACTGACTCACTTTTTTGATCAGAAATCAGTAAATGGCAGGACTGACATTTGTACTATAACATTTACTTACTTGGGCAGCCGTCGACTAGGACGCACGTTCGAGAAGTTTACATTCTAAAGAGCATGTAATTAAAAAAAAAATATTCATTCTATTGTGGAAGATCAAACAGAAGCAATTAGGGAAGCTAGATCATAATGAGTTAAAAATAAAAGCTTTTTTTCCTTTGTTCACCGTCTTATCGTCACGTTGATAATCGTTTGTGTTAAAAGATCATATATATATTTGTCTGCTTTGGCTACAAATTTTCTCTTAATTGTTTTTAATATTTACTAGTCATTTTACCGTTTGCAATGACAGTATGATTTTCATGCATATCAACTGTTTTTATTTTATTATAAATGAATAGGTTGATTTTCAAAAAAAAGCATCGATAGGTGCCACAACTTAGAACTAGTCCAATAAAACGAACACGATGATTATCATACGTTTGATTCTCATATTCATTTACATTTTTGCACTAATAATTGCATCACACAGAAAGACGTGTGGCATGTTTCGTTCGGCAGCTCGTGAGAACTCAGTGGGAAGTTGATAAATCAGTCTAACTGACATGAATTGAACCACTTAACAACTGTTTTTCGTTGTAGGCAATTCCAATGAACGGATTTGTTAACTATAGTTGATGTTACAAGCATGCTAGTTTAGCTTGTTTAAATGTCAGAGAATTGTCGAGTAACTTCATTGGATCGAAAAGAAACTATGGATCAATTATATGCGGCACAAATAATAAGGCTTAATTATCTTGTACTGTTCAAAATAATTAGTTTTTCATTCAATTGATGTTCATTTCTACGAAATAAATTATAATTGTAAACTTTTCTTCACAAGCAGTCGAATCAGAAAAAAAAACATTTTGAATAAATAAGAGTAAAATACTTGTAGTCTAGTCACAAAATGAAGTTAAGCTCGATGAAAGAAATCGCATAACTAAAATCTTATGATAAGAAAGGAGAAACCATAATATTTTATTTGTCAACTATACGTTCTAAAAATATTTGAAAAAAAGTTCTCTTCCAAGTTTTCATAGGAAGTAACTAAGTGAACTGTAAATGGGTCATCAAATTCATCGCATATGTTTATCAACACTAATACTTTGCTCTGTATTTCTTTTTCATGTTAATTTTCAAGAGTATCTTGCTGAATAAATAATATAGATCGTCAAAATGTAAATCTTATTCATGATAACCTGCAGAATTGCTTCTTTGAATTTTATGATTAGATCATTAGTCCAAATGACAAGAGATGTCTCTACCAAGTCGAGAAAACCAAATCATTCAAAGAAACGACAGCCAACTGAAAAATTCCAAAAAACAGTTTTCATGATGTTTCATTGAATTCACTATCAATTAATAAAAGAAAATGAGAGAACTCGAAATCTTCTGGATGGCGAGTTGAAGCCTTGAATTCAATGGTCTAAAATTGTCTATGTGAAATGACTTATAGTTGTTGGGGGACTCACACGCTTTATTCATTTTCTGCACATTTTTTTCACTTATTATAAGCTCTTCTTGATGTTTTGTTAGCAGACTACGAAAAAGTTCATTAAAAAAAAAAGCAGAACTTTGGTAAGAATGAAAACTGTTAACAAGATGAAAATCGAACAGCGGAACCAGATCCGACGTCAACTTCATTCGAACAGAAGATACGACTAAAATCAAATTAAAAAAAAAGCTATATAGTATTTTATTATTAAATATAAACCAATCCTATACCTGTGTTGTTGATCCGCATTCATGACAGTAGCTTTAGTAAATTTCCATGAAGCCGAATACAGGATTGATGAAATCCAATTGGTTGTTTTCTGAAATTGAATATCAACAGCAGTTACTTCACCAATATCTGTTGTTAATGGAATAAAACGTGTTTGTACTGAATCACGTTTAAATGTTGTTTCATCACTATAATCACAAAAATATAAATTTTAAATATATACATATGAAAAAATTAGCCTACTCATCAAAAACAACATTAACGGTTTCAAGTGTACCAATAAGTGTAACAGTAACTTTACCACGTGTTTGAACATAATCAGATCCTGATTGAAGTGTAACTTGATAATGATATACTTAAAATAGCAAAAAAAGCAACAACACAGAAATGAAATTTGAATATGTAATTATGTAATTCAACTGACTGCAAAATGGAAAAGCATTAGCATCTTGAGTTTTTAAATAAAGATCTCCTTTTCCATCAGTTGGAGATGTCCAATAGCCCATACGATTACATTGATGTTCATTTCCATCACATGCAAGTGAACATTTACCACTATTAAAAGCTTCATAATTAGGACATGAATAACCGACATAAGGACATTGATTACGAATTGTGTCCGTAAAGAAAGAAACGGCAGAGAAATGGCTACATAGGGATGTTTCGATAAAACCTATTGATGAAGTCAAAATGATGAAAAGATAATTATTGTTCACTTTTCTATTACCTTGAACATCCATTTGACCAAGTTGAAGAATAAGATTTATTATTTTGCCAGATGTTTTAGGGCAACTAGGTTGATTGAGACCACCGTTGGGGAAAAAGTCAACATGACCCATTCGTTCAAGACTACCTTTAGAAGAAAAATAACAGTTAATAAAAATAAATACGAAGTTTCAATAAAAATAACTATACCAAGTCCAAGAAGAAGATTATGGCTACCATCCGTATGTATAACATCGACAAATAAGGCATCAGTTGAATCAAGACGAACTTTTGGACCTGTTTTTTCAAAATAAGGGCCAGCAGGATCCAAACCTTTTAAAGAAAATAAATTTTTATGTCTGACATGCTTGATTTTTCGTACTCAAAATTTACCTGTAATTCTCCCTAAACCAGGGATTCTTTCACCAGCGTATCCTGCTGTTTGACCACCCAGTGAATGGCCAATTATATGAAAATCGGCAGCTTTAGCACCATGTTCTTCAATCATATATTTGACGAGTAATGCAATTTCAGCACCAACCACTTGAGTATTTGTTGATGCTTTTTCATATGGAAATCCATTACCTTTTGACCAATCAGTCATAATAACATTAACATCTTCCTAAATTTTTATAGATATCGATATACTCTATACATCATATTCTCAAAATTTAATACTAACAGCTGCAAGTATAGCATTTTTCATATCGACCCACCATGGTCTATTACTACCGTCTAGAAAGCCGTGAATAAAGATTTTTGTTGGTTTCGTTGCGTTCCATGTCCCAAGAGTTGTGTAACGACCGATTTCAGTACGAGTTTTGCGTGTTTCTCTTGTATACAGAAAGAAGGTGGTTCCAATGACACCGGGCTAATGGAAAATCACAATAGTAACTACAAAGCAATCAAATATAAAATCATACTCGATCAGGTAACATAAAAAATGGCCGTTGAAGTGTACCACCTATTGGAAAATATAGGTTGATTAAATTTTACAATAAATAGAAATATTTTTTTACCGAATGGTGCTGCTGTTGTAAAACATCCATATTCACCATAGCAATTTTCAGATGCTCGCATGTTTCGAACTATAAAAATGCATTTCAAATGATTCTCATGTAATTGAAACTAACAAACGACGAGCTCACCAAGAAGATGCTCATCATTATCTTGAGCAGAAATTGTAGCAAAGCATAGGAGAGCGATAATAACGGAACCTAACATCATTGTTGATGTTGATAATAAGCGAGTTTTTGTTTTTACACAAGGTATTTATTTAAAGCTTTGAAGAGCATTCGCTTTAATCGGTATGATACACGTGATGAACTAAACAGATCAGACACTATAAAAACATAAGACTCTAGAATAACGCTATTCATTAAATTTTCGCTTGATTTCTGATGATAGAAGACGAATGTGTATATGTAAATCCTTTTTTAATTATTTTATAACTCTTGATTTAAAACCTAAAGTACAAGCCTGCATGGAATTAGATTGAAAATCAAATGAATTCGGAGAATTGAAATAATTGAAAAATAAGATCGGTAATCTGATCACTTGAATAAAATGCAGTGATTACTCGTTTCTACAAATTTTTCTCACTATTAAATGTAGCAATCAGTAAAAAAAACAATGCCAATATATATATATATATATGCCATCTAGATATATCTTTCAAATGAGTGATTAACTTAGCAAGCATAGACCTAGGTGTAATGCGATACAGAGAGGAGGCGTGGTTGGGATTGGACTTTTGGAATACTTGCAGAATTTTTGTTTTTGCCAAGAAATTTCAAATGAAACGAAAAAGAAAACATTCGTGTCATGCATGTTTATAAAATATTTGATATTATCTACTAGAAGTATTGTTAAAACTACTTCTTATCAAGATTTTTTCTGATATCACTAGATGGAATTTTCAAACATGATTTGTTACAGGAAAGATGATATCTTAAAACTACTTCACATCGTCAGTATCTGCTACAGAATCAATATCGTAAAATTCTATTGTAAAAGAATTGATTATCGATTATTTTGAGAAATTTTCAATAAATCATTGACAAAATAATAATAAGATAGTATTCTTTTTTTATACAAGTATGAATCATAGATGGCCATTACATGTTTCAAATTCGAACATTATGCTGTTTGTTCTTTTTTTCTCAATATATTCACAAACAAATGAAGAAAGGTACATACACAGAAATGGATGCACAACAAACAAACAAAAGATATAATTTGTAAAACAAAAAAATTAATAAGGTTTCGGACGAACACCGGCAGGATAAGCAGCGTTTCCTCTAAAAAATATGAAATTATCGATTAACAAAATCAAATATAGAAATGCATGTATCCTTTTTATACAACATACCTATTCAAAGCAACTCGTGGTAATTCCTTTCGAACACCATCACGTTGAAATGCATTGCTCATTACTGGTGCTACACTGTAATAAAACAAAATAAATAAATAATTAATTGGATACATTTTACATGATCTTATGACTTACAAAGAATTAGGTGGTGTTGGTAAAATGCCACGCTGTTGTTCTGGTGTTTGTCTAAATTTGAATAATGAATGATTCATTTGACGCGGTAATCCAAGTGTTGAAGATGAAATGGTTGTTATGGGATTAGCGGCTGTTACAAAATTTGATGAAGCAGTTGTTGTCGATATAATTGGCGATGGTGAAGTACCCGTAGTTATTATCGTCGATACAGATGATGTCGAAGGTATTGACGTAACTTCATTGTTATTATTATTATTCGATGTTGATTTAATCATTGACAACATAGATGTAGTTGTATTCATTGGTGGTGCAGCAGGATTGAAGGGTGTATTTTGTTTCTGCATACTATACAAACGTCTGGGACATAATGCAACACGAATTTGTCGACCAAACAATTCTTTTCCTACAGATAAAAAGAACAAAGAGAAATAATTTTAGCATAATTCACTAACGGAAACAAAATGTAACTATTCTTGCTAATTATGCACATTTCAACTAACAAATATTCATAAATTACATTCAATGGGAGTAATCTAGAGGTCTCAAACTAAAGCTGAAAGAGAAACAAGACGAATCTAAATCGTAGTTCGAGCAATAGAATGTAATTTTAATTTTTTTGAAATATCAGCTAATCATTGAGATATAAGCGATTGAACTTTGAGTGAAAGTTTAAGTTTGAAAAAAATTTCAAGCATAAAATAATTCTAAACGTTTACTCCTTTAATTCAGTATCTCTTTTAGATTTTGTTTCACATAAGGTGATGTGAAAAATTACCATCGAAATAATTAACAGCTACTTGACATGATTCAGGATTAATAAATGTTATTGTAGCTTCTCCTTTTCCTTCACGTGTTTGTCGATCTTTATAGACCCAAATTTTTGGTTTTGGTGAACGTACATCAACCTAAAATTAAATTTTCAATCTTTATTTTTTTCTATGTACAAACACTTCTTTATACCGGTGCAATTAGTCCACATGCTGAGCCAAACACTTCGGCTAAGGTTTCATTTTGAATTTCTTTGGGTAAGCCAGTGACGTAAATAACATGTCGTAGAAGATCATTTTCATCGCCAGGTTCTATACAGAATATATATATATATATATTTTTTTAAACATGATCAAAATAAATGCAGTTGAAGAACTCAAAAAGAAAACAAAAACAGAAATAAAAACGAACTAACGACAACAAAATTCTCAACAGTATAGATCGAGAAGGACAAAATATCGAAAAGATAAAAAGTATGCACGTATTGAGCGGTAACACATGCGCACGAACATACATCTGTAGAACAGTTTTATACTTTGTACAGTATTTTTTTTTCAAAACTCTTTCTCGTTTGCTCATGAATGCATAATATCAAACAAAAACTGGTTAGCGAAACAAGATAAAGATTTTAACTTACCATCAAGTTCACGTTGATAGCCCCCTCGTGGTGGCAAACTGGAATAAGCAAGAATAGATTCAAACAAACAAGATCAACATTTGTCGTCAAATTAATTTGTCAAAGAACAAAAACAAAAGAAAAAACAGACAGAAAATACGTTTTTTTTTATACAAAAATAGTATAACAAAATTTCTCTTAGAAATCCTCCTAAAAATAATATTATAGAGTTCAAATAAAATTTTTTGATTGTTTAATTCTTCTCTCCTTTTTTCTTTTGAATTCCTAGAAAGCAGAAAAATTGATCGATAAAAAAGAAACATATTACATCAAGAATAAAATACAATCAACACATTGAACTGTACTTCACTATTGATAAGGTTTTCTTTTTCAAAACATTAATTAAAACACAAACGAAAAACTTTGAACAGAAATACATAAGGTCAAAAAGATAGAAGAGAATAATGGAAACAAAAACTTTTACAAGAAATACATATTCACTTACCGATATGGCATTCGTTGAGGTTGGTGACGAATATAATGCATTGCAGGTGGCACTTGACTTGAATGATAGTAATCCGATTGACGTGCAACCATATCTGCGGTAGCTGTTGCATAGCCATGTGTTGAGCCCATTGTTCCTGCAGCTTGACTACCTGATTGAACACTATAAGCTCCATGTGATGGTGGAGCTGATATAGCATATGTTGCATAATCATTTTGGGGCGTTGATCTATGGCTTGTTGAAATGGTTTTGTAGGGAGAATAAGTGGTCGCTGATGAAGGCGTTGGTGCATATGAACCTAGTTGAAAAATAAAGATACAATATATTTTCGAAGTTTTCTAATATATACCACTCATTGCAGACGAGTAATCATAACCAGCATAATGAATTGCAGACGCAGCAGATGATGATGATGGTGGTGGCGTACGTCTTGATTCATATGGATAACTACTATTTGATGATGGATATCCAGGTTGACTAGAAGTTGGTGGTGGACCTCCAACACTAGTAGCCGTAGTTGGATAGCCATAGCCTGTAGTTGCATAACCTGAATATGGATCAACAGTACTATAAGATGGCCCTGTTGCAGTACCTGAAGAAAAACAAGAACTGATAAGTTAAAGAAACATGTTTGATTAGTTCACCTGGGGGATATCCACCGGACGCTGCATAACCATCATACGCACCTGGTGTTGCGTATGATGCACTTGATTCATAGCCTGGATAAGATGCATAAGAAGCAGTTGCTGCACCTGCTTCGTAGGAATAATCATAAGCTGAATAATCGTATCTAAAAATAGAAAAGATTAAAAATATAAGAAACTAAAACAAAAACAAAAATACATACAAAGGTTGAGCAGTGGCCATCCTTTAAAAATAATTAATCTGAAAATTTAGAATAAAATTTTATGATTCCGTCCCAACCAAATAATTGAAATCTATATAATTTAGCTTATTAATTAATTATTTTTCTATGCAGATTTAGGCATTATTTCGTCCCCGTATCAATAACAATACCTTGCCAAGTATATTGTTTATTTTTCAATATATCTAACATAAAGCAAACTACATTTTGCTGTTGATAGATCAAGAAAATAATAATGATTTTCACTAAGTTTTGACTTTTTTTCTAAATAAAATTTAAAAAACAGTAAAAGTATGGAATCAATTTAATTTCAACTTACCAATAAAAGGTTTATTAACTGAAACAGAATCTTGACATTCTTTTAAATATTCTTCCATATTAAACATTGCAGTCAAGAATGCGAGATATCAATGAACGTATTAGATATAAATATTTATATGGTTCATCTACATGAATCATTAAAAGAAAAGAAAAACATATACAGGTACATTTTTCTCGATGAAAAATATAACTTTATTTACATTTAGAGTGCATTGAACTGATTCCAATGAATCATGTTAATATGCGCATTAAGTATAGCTGTTACAATTGATTTTTATGGAATCTTAATAAAAAGCTATCGACCATATTGAAAGACTAACGCATAGCCAAGAGCCGATAAAACAGCAGTCAGCCCTCGTGTACTTTTACTCAAATCTGTTAGATTCATTACATCACATTGCATTATCTTGCAAATAGTACTCTAATTAATTTTGTACAAAAAAGTATATATATAAGAAAAGAAAATAACTCAAGCTTTTTATTTTCGATATATCCCAATTATTCTGTACTTCTTAGAGGTGCTGTTATTTGATAGTCTCGTTCTAATACTTGTTTAACAATTTGTAAATCAGTGACTCCTGTAGCACCTAGAATTACTTTATTGTTTTCTGTATTTTCATGTTCAGTTGCTGGAGCCATTGTTTACAAATCAAAGAGAAAAAAAGAAAAAAGAACGAAAGAAACGGCTTGTTTTTCTATAACCAATCACTATAGATGAGTACGTGACATCTATTGATTTTGTAAAATTTGTCGAGAGGTTTAACTATGACAACAATTTGAAGAAATAATAAAAGAAAATATTAAAAAAATACTGTTTAAAGTTACTTTATCGTCATCTCGAATAGATTTTATTTCAAGGAAAATTTTTGCTAGTAAAAGTTCTGCTTTACTAACGAGAGGTTTACCACAATCCCGAACAAACTACCCCAACTCGATGATTCTTAAGTTTACATACGAATGAGTTTAGCTCGAATTCATCAGAAGCTTAGAGAAAAATCAGTCTCCAGGAGACAAAACTAAAGCTCCAGTAATTGATAAAAAAAAGCTAAGGTGCGCTAATTTTGGACTAGCACATTGGCTGATTTTTAAGATGACTTTTCCTTGTTCACGACCAAAAGAAAACAAATTGGTTAGAACTTGCCGGGAAAGTTCCTAGGCATGCAAACGTTCGGAATACTGTCTCTAGGATTCAATTCATTTTCGAATCTGTCCTGCTAATGTTGACCCATATACGGTGATCTAGGTTGCTTTTAATGAATAGATTTGTTACATCGTACATACGCATTATTAACATAGTTGATATTAAAAATTGTAAAAGTATTTATCAAGAACTTATTAGTTTCTAGTTAGAGAAAAATATAATCATTCTTTTTATTGTTCTTTTTTTGTTTAAATTCTTTTTTTAAATAATCATTTTGGTATACACTGCTTGTACGTCTATGAAAATAAATGTAAGAAGAATATTTTATTCTAGATATTCATTGAAAGTAGTGTGGACGTTCTCAAATAAATCGACAACAAAACAAATAATCTTGAAGGTTTAGTAACAAGTGATTAGAAATCTCAAATGGATTTTTCGAAGCATGGAATATTTGTCGAACGTACGCTAGCCTTAGTTAAACCTGATGCTATTAACAAAGCTGATGAAATCGAAACTATTATTCTAAAACATGGTTTCACTGTTCTCGAAGTTTGTTTGAATTTTCTACTTCTGTTTTCCTATTATCTTTATTTTTGATTAGAAAAGACGTATAACATTAACAGCTGAACAATGTTCAGATTTTTATAGTGAACATTACGGGAAAAAATTTTTTCCAAGTCTTGTTGCTTTTATGACAAGCGCTCCAGTTGTTGCTATGGTTTTAGCTAAGGAAAATGCAATACAACAATGGCGAGATTTAATTGGACCAACAAATTCAAATGTGGCAAAAGAAACACATCCAGACAGGTTTTCATAATTGAATTTGTCTTTTTTAATTCTGTTGATTCATTTTTCGCCTCGAGTAGTATTCGAGCATTGTTTGGAACAAATGAACAGAAGAATGCGGTTCACGGTAGTGATAGTGCTGTTAGTGCTGAACGTGAAATTCGATTTTTCTTTCCGAATTGTAAGTAGAACAAAAATTCTATAGGCAGAATTCGAAATGAAAATTTTTCTTATTTTCAGGTGTTGTTGAGCCAATTCCAACTGGACCACCAGCAACAGACTATCTTGAACAAAACGTGAATAAAACACTAATCAAAGCATTAACTGCTTTATGTAAAGAGAAACCTAAAGATCCAGTGGTAAGATATTTCTGTTTTGAAAATCGTGATATACTTGATTGTTTTTTTTACAGGTATGGTTAGCGGATAAACTCATGGAAATAAATCCTTATAAACCAAAACTAAGTCTCACTGTGACCGCACCATCCACAAATAATGAATAATCGTCTTCTATATCAATATGCTAAGCGAATACCTTATTATATATCGCAGTGTTATGAAAAACGTGCCTATTTTTAAATAAAAAGACTGCGTTAATTAAAAAATATTAATAAAAATAATTAGTTCAAAAATTTTGCGCACAGAATAAGAGATATTGTCTCCAATGCAATCGATAATTAAGTGAAAATTTATCACTTAAGAATGATCAATACTCTGTATGAATTATATTCAACAGATTTTAACTAGAATTTCGATGAAACTTTTAAACATCAGCAAGAATACGATACTATTTTCTTTTTCTAGTTTATTAATTTACTTTATAAACAACAATCTAGAGATGTATCAATTGAAAACTATATCAAAATCAATTATTATGTTTTCTATGAAATATTTTGTTCGCTTATGCCGATATTTACAAAATCATGCACACCAGAGGAGAACTCGAGTTGTGACACACTCATCATTTCAGTTAATATAGGTTCTAAAGAGATATTTAAAGAGAGCTTGTAGATTTTTTGTAAGTTCTCCTTTGTGAATGATTGCAGTCAAGCAATGTTTGTTTTATCCAGCAAATTATCAGACTGCATACACATTGACTAAAGATTTAGAATTCAAATACTTTCATTACTAGAAATAAATTTGAGAGCAATAATATTTGCTGACACTGCAGAATCATCATAAATCATAATCGAGCATGACAGTAATGCTAACCGAGTAAATCGCCAACGTGGCAGCAGTGAACGGTAGAGTGAAGAAGAAATCACTCGTTTTTATGAAACTTCACCATTGTAAAACAATGCAACTTTTTTACACCATTCGTTTTAACAAGAGAATTTTCAAGCGATTTATTGCTGCAGTCTTGATTGAATTCAAACATAAGATGACTGCGATATCGGAGTTTAATTTTTACAAAAAGATAATAATCATTCTATCTTAATTTGGCAGAGCTAAGTCTGAAAATTTGTATTTAGTTTGAAGTAAATATTATTGTTGAAATTTTCGACATTGTTCGTTTCAATTAGATATGATCAACAATATTATTTTATTTTTAAACTCCAATTTCATCTTTGATTATTCCATTTACGTCACATTTGACGTATGACATCTTTACTAAATATCGCTTTACGATTTATTTTGTGTTGGATCATGATTTATGACTAACAACATGACATGTCAGTTATAAAAGTTTATTTTTGAACTTCCAAGCACAATAACAGTTTGCCTCATGTGTTTTGTTTTCTTCAAAAATCATCAATTGATTAATTTATAAAAACGTGAAGAGTCCTCTTTCAATGAGTCTGACAGTTGGAGATTCTTTATTCGATAATTCTCATCGTTAGATAATAAAACTTAATCACACAAAAGAAGAAAATGTATAATTCAATTGAGTAAGATAGATGGGAATAATAAAATCAAAGGAACACAGATTATTGCCATTCGATTCACAGTAGAAAACAAAATTAGAAACAATACTTTTATAAATACTTCATATGCACATCGAGAATATGCACATGTAAAGACAAAACGACATAGAAACAAAAAACATCACACCGGTGATTGCAGCTTTCTTTGTTTTCGTTAAAAACCAAATGTTTTACGAAATGAGGAAAATAAAGATTGCTGAGAATTTTCTTTAGGAGCTTGTCTTTCATCCATTACATTTTGATAATCACGTTTTTGCATAACATTGGGTGATTGGCGTATTGATAATTCTCGTTTATATATCCATTCTAATTCACGTTGTGTTGGTACAAATGCGTTTGAATCTTGACGTTTTTGAATATTATTTTTCTCGTCATGCGATGCATAGGAACCGTACAAACGTAATCCAAAATAGCTTATTTCACCTGTATCATCGAAAGATCCTGACTTAATGGATCCTTCATTTTGTGGTGAACGAGTTTCCATACGTAATGTCCAACGACCGATTGGAGATTCACCCCATTTATGTGCAGACATAAATGGAAAATATTTTATGCCTAGAATTAAATATAGATAGGAAATATCAGCAACGTAATTTCGGAAAATAAAATATGTCATTATTTTATATAATAGATTTATTGTAAGTTACTCTAAATACCCTGAAAATTTAAGTGTAAATTCCTTTAAATGATCCTACGATTTAGGAAAAATTAGTTATTCACTGCTTACTATCGGTTGAAAAACGTTTCTTCATAAGAAAGGAGTATTCATACAATTGAATCTAGTATGTCCTTAGAAAAATCAGCACACAAAAGATACCTTTGTTCGAAGCATCAGGATCTCTATAGGAAAGTAATTCCGAAGGTGTTCCACTTGGTGATATTAATGTAATTTTGATATCACCACGACGATGAAAAGTAAAGGATACATTAGCTTGGACATGTTCAAGACTTGTTACATTCTCACATTTATCGACATCAATATGCATTTCAACAGTAGCACCAATACCTAATGGACTAAAAGATATTTTAAAAAGAACCAAACAATTAAAATATTTTAAAAAGAAAACTTTAAGATAAATCCTTACAGACTAGAACCTTTGTATTCATGATAACAATCATATCTTGGATTAACATTTGTCCAATTTTGTGCTAAACCAATCATTTGTCCAACATCTAATACGCCAAAACCAAATTTATCGCTAACATGAAAACCGGCTCCATTAATTATCCAGTCATCTGTTTCGGATAAACTTGGTATACGAGCTGTTTCAGCTATGATATGCATCACATCACGATAACTCAACTCTGGATTAGCTTCAAGTACAAGTGCTAAGCCCCCAGCAACAACTGGTGCAGCACCAGATGTACCAAAAAATTTTGTAGTACATTTTCCACCAACATCAGCAGCAACAACACCTACTGGTATAAATGGTTCACGTATCGATCGTGCATGACGACCACCAGTATAAGCAACGGCCATTGTCGATGGACAAAATTCACCGAAATAGGTTGTTTTACCCAAATGATTTATTGAACCAATTGAAATTACATTCGGATGAGATACGTATCCATCAGCACCACAATCATCACCAGCTGTTCCACCATTACCCGATGCCCAAACAAATAGTATACCTTTACCATGGCGTCCCTAAAATTTATTAACGAATAAAATTAGTTGTATTCTGACTAAACGAAAATATTTACATGTGTAACACCATAATCTAAAGCAGCATTGACAAGTGCACCTGGTGCTTCCATCTTTGTTCCATCATCAGTTGGTCTAAATAAAACTTAATTTGTTACAATAATAATAATAATAATATTGATTTTTACCCCCATGATGCACTTTTTATAGATGTATTAACAGCAAATAGTGTTAGTGCACGTGCTTCCAACAATGTTGTAATACGCCCGTCAAGCAGTCGAATACCTAATGGGGGAAGGGGAGGGGCGGAATGTAAAAAAGATTAGGATGTTTTCTTTTCTAATTTGATTTTACCAGCAATATTTGAATTATAAGCAACTCCGACACCGCAAATACCATTATTTGCTTTACCAGATGATGCTCCAGCACAACGAGTGCCATGACTAAAAGGAAATGGTTAATAATTAATAAAATTTTTTAGAGTAATGAAAAGCGAGCGAATAAGAAGAGGAGCGTGCATTCACTGCATTCACACAAACACACACATCATGTCAGTTAATAGAATACTTGAAGTGTTAGATTAGTAAGATTCTATAATATTTTGCATTCTCATCTTACTTATTTGAACTATCGTAAGTTCTTGGACTTGGATCGTGTTCAGTATCGTTAAGATCATTTAAATCATAACTTAACTGAGGTTGCTAAGCGCATAAAAGAATATTAACATCCCAAATAAATATATGGATAGAGAAAAATTATCGTATTCTTTTTTTGTCTCCCAATTAATTAACAGATGAGAAAAAAAATCTATTTCCCCCAAAAAAAAAGTAAATCATTTTTTTCTCACACTTACATATCGATCAATCAATTCTGGATGTTTATGATCGAGACCATCGTCAATTATAGAAATTGTTACACCTTTACCAGAATATCCTGCTAACCATGCTGGAATAACATTAATATCATGATTGGCTGGAGTATTTAATTGACCTTCGTTTTCCTAAAAAAAACAATGATTAAATAAAATCATTGATGAGTGACACTTTCGTTTTTACAACATATTAAAACTGCCAGTTTTACAAAACAATGTTTAAAGTAATATTATGCAGATAGCATCTCAAACATGATAATGTAAAACACAGGCGTAAAAAGTATTTGACAAACATCTGTTATAATTAACAAAATATATCAAATTATTTTCACATCATGCGAATGATTCGGTATTTATATGTCACAATCGTATCCATTTTTCTTTGGGAATGTACAATATTAACACATTTTAATGAAAAATATAATAATTTAGTGGATGACATTTACTTCAATCGATGATATGGAATATATATTTCTGTTTTTTGTAAGATGTATCAAAAAGTGCAATTCTTTACTTTGTTTCTTATGTTTAAAAAAAACTTAGGTAACATACGTATATTTTCAAGATGTACTTACCAAATACCATTGTTTTCGATAATAAGTATCATCAAAAGACATTTTAAATGAAGAATTATCTATAGTTAAGTCCATATCAATAGGTAATTGGTCATATTTCCAACGTCGATATTGTTTATATAATTCTTCTAATTCATCATCGTTTGTGAACTCTCGCTTTTGTCTTTCTAATGATTCACCTACAGTTACAAATTCAATCTAAACAAAAAGCACAACGCTCGTTCTAAATATTATATCTTAAGTCAATGATCGAATTACTCGTTCATCATGTTTTAAATCTTCAATTGTTTCATCAATTGCACGTTTAGATCTTCGACCATGTTTTCTTTCAATACGAAAATGATGTAAACCAATACCAGGAATCTATTTTAAAAGGAAAAACAATCGATATTGAATAGATAATTTTATTCATAATATTTACATCTCCAGCATTAAATAAATTTTTCTCTTCTGCAATAAGATCTGCTATAAGATAATCTCGATTGTCACCAGTTAATCGCACACCAATATCAATAAATTCATCATAATCATCATCACCATCATTCTCATCTTGATACGTATGAACAGTTAAAATACACAACAATAAAATAAATAAATAAATCTTATACATCTAGAAGAAAACAAAAACAAAATAGTTATCAACTATGTTGATATTTTATTTGTATTTTTTCTCCATAATTGTTTTAAATATGTACATTTCTTTTCAACAATATCTTCAGATTCTTTACTCGATGGTCTCATCCATAATAATGGATTATCGAGTTCCATTAGACCTCCTAAAATTTCTCGACCAAAATATAATGGAAATTGGCCACGTTCTTCAATCATGTGTGCGTAACCATAAAGATTTTCATTTTTACTTTTGTCGGCTGGAAATTCAACACAGAAATATGGTAAACCTTTGGGTAAAACAGATTTCAATGTACGTGAACGGCGATTATTCAATTCAATAAGTTTCTTGTTGGTTGACCACATTGATTCACTTTCCAGTAATGCCTTACGAAAATACATTGGAACTAAATTAGCTTGTTCGATTGGAATTGGAATACATTCGATATACAAATGTGGTAGTAAACGAGGATTTTTAAATGTTTCAAGGAATATTGGTACTTGATTATAATTTTTACGAAATAAATCAGTTAATTGTTCTTTTAATGTATCAAGTTCAGAAAGAACATCATCGTCTAGAATAAATTATTTTTAAAATAGTTTTTTTATGCAATAACGAGTGAATGTTGTTCTAAAATCTGTATCTTCAATATACGTTTTCTTTTTGTCTTACTTCTCATTCAATGTTTGTCTTTAATGATAAGGTGTCTGTCAAGTAGTTCGATTGATTATTCAAATTAGCTCATATTATCATCTTACTCTCTTCTGAATGTCCTTGAAAGAATATCTAAAGATCAAAGTTCAACATAACAGTAAAAGTATATCAAAACTATTCATGTTGACTTCAACTAGTCAGCAGATACTTACAAGTCTGCGCTTTTTTTTTCAGAAATATGTAATACGATGAGTATTAGCAGCATACAATTGATTAGTTGTGCTGCCAAAGAAGCGTGGGAGGGTTTATCAGAGATTATTTATAGATAAAAGAACTTTTCTGACAGTAACAATTAGGCACACAGTATACTTCTCTGGCTAATATAAACTATAGTTAGCATTAGTTCGATTTTCTTTGACATAAACTATGATAAACGGTAATGTGATTCTATTCATTTTGACTGTGTACATATCTTTTGATTTTACTATTTATTCGTTTATCCAGCAGCTAAGATAAATACGATTCATTTATTCGTTTCTCTAGCTGTTTTATGTTTTGACTAATCCAATGTAAACACTCGATATCACTTGTGCATATGTGTAAAAAAATACTTCAGCTTAACTTTATTTTTTGATAATTTGATATTCTATTCATGAAAATTTTCTTTCTCTATCCTAGATTAAATTACTGACAAAAAAAAACTGATTGGTTACATATAAGTGGCCGTTGACATTCTAACTCATAAAATACTTTACAATTATTAAAATGATATTACATATCTTATCCAGTTTACTGTACTCTAAATCTATACGAGCGAAAATAAAGTGATATTTAACAAGAAAAAAAATCGAATCGAAAATTTATAGCAGATAATTTTCGGAATCAGTTCTTAAGTAGGTATTTATTTACTCGGAGTCTAAGAAAACGATCAAACCTAGTCGCTTGTGCGTCTAGAACACGTAAAATTAGTAGGCGCACTGATTATCACTTCTTGTTTTACTATTATTACAGAAATGCATCATGATTTATTCGTCCATTTTCTTAAATCAATTATTTGCATATTCTAATTCATCATTACTTTTATTTATTTTTATAAATTGATGATTACTAACAATTGTCTTCTGGTTCTTATTTATATTCCTTTCATAAAACAAAATAGGATCCTGCAAAAATAGAACTAATTTTAAAGAAATCCAAGTTTCCCTAAAATACTATGATTTCACTATGCCTACTTTCTTATTGCAGATAATCTGTTATAAGATTAACTTAGGCTGATGTAGATTAATATTAAATGTATTCGAATCAATTTCTCACCTAATTGAAATCGACTAGATGTATGTTGAATGGGCACGATAAAACAGTGTCCCTCAACAAGTGATTCTTGTGGTGGCGCACACAGAAACCATTGATCAAGTAAACCGAAAATATAAGATTTCGAAAGATTTTCAATACATAACCAACATTGTTCAAATGTTTTTTGTCGTTTTTTCTGTTCAGCCAATGCTTGTATACGTGACCAACCGGACAAATGACGTGTTGACGCTATTATTTGTCGATCAGCTGTTATACTTTGATTGCTTCTATTACTTGGTAAAACTGGCATTGTATTTGTCGTTGAATGTCTTTCCATTTCAACAAGATCAGTCAATGATAAACCTTCTCGTTCTGGATCTTTATCATTGTCACGCATTTTTCTCATTTCTTTTTTCATTTTTCGACGATCACGTTTCAATACTTGACCATATTGATTTTGATGACGTTGTTCATATGCACTATGAACAGGTTTTTCAACACCGTATCGATCAATTGTTGTTAATACAAGAATTTTCGGATCATTCGATTCTGACTGTTGTTGTTGTTGTTGTTCACCAGCAGGATCATGCTGTGGTTTACCACGAAGATTATCAATGTTTTTTATTTCGTTACGAAGTAATTCAGTCATTTCCTAACAAGTAAATAATTGAGTTTTTCGTTATTACAAAACTGATTCAAATCTTACATCATCACCAGCAAGTTCTGCTCGTATAAGTTGTTTTCGTAATTCCAAAAGATTTTCTTCGGATATTAATTCATCATCTTCTTCATCATGTTTTGGCTCAACATCAACTGTTTTAGTTTCTTCTTGTTCATCTGTACGTGCTTGTTTTTTTGGTATTGACTCTTGCTTATCATCGTATGTAGTTCTTTTCCATGATTGTTTTTCGCTATGATGATGGTGATGGTGATGATGATGATGATGTCGATCGTGTCGATCACCTTTTTCATTTGGATGAAGAAATTTCTTCTTACTAGATGAATGATGATGAAGATCCTCAGCATCGTTGATCAATGCCATTAATTTTTCCATAGACTAAACAAAAGAAATTACTGAAAAGATATAAAAATTCTATGAAATAACTTACACCGTATCGTGCAGAAACAATTTCATTTAAAGGACGTTGTTCCTCCTTCGCTTGTTGTTTACATCGTTCAAAAGCTCGTTGATGCCATTCAAGACCAGCATCACCAACTTTACTTGTTTTTGGTTCTTTAATTGGAGCTGATTGTTTACGTAAACTTGGATTTAATTCACGTTCATTCATAATTACCTATTTTGTTTTTCAGAACAAAAACTAATAATATTGCAAATGAGTTAGATAATTTTAATAAACTAACCTCCATTTCAGCCAAAGATTGTGCCTTTTTTGCCGCTTGTTTGTCTTCTCGTCGATAACTACCAATTGAATCAAAATCAAATGGTTCAAGAGCAAAGGCGACTGGTACACTTTTTTCTTTTTCCTAAATTTTCAAAATAAGAAAAAGCAATTTTGCAAAGTTTTCATTTACTATTTGTTCTAAATCAGCTGGTGTTGGCATTGTTGGCCCTTTCATCACAGCACCACCAAGAGCATCATTAATTTTATCATCGCGAACAATTTCTTGCCATTGCCCTTCATCCTTAAAAAAAATATCGAATGATGATTTTTTCAAATTAAAAATTATGCTTCATCTAACTTTGCTCGAATTCGATGACGATGATGCTGAACGATGATGCTTTTTATGTTTATGATCTTTTTTCTTCGAGGATTTGCCCATGTTCTATTGCTTGCCGATGATTTAAGGTCGTATAAATGCAAAAAGTGATATTTCTATAACAAAATTTATGCATGGCAAACAACTTTTGTCTATCGAGTCGATTAGATATGAAGCGAAAATAATCATCAAACGTCATCAACCATCGTGTGGGTGTATTTGATGACAGGATGAAGGAAAGAGAAAGAAGGAGGACGAAGAACTCAAAGAACGTTTCGTTAATTATGTACGGAAAAAAAAGAAACTTGATGGCAACGCATGAGTCTCAATTGGTATTGTGAAAAAAGTAATATGTGTATGTGTAAATAGGTCAATAAGAAATATCCAATGAAAGAGTATACAAATAACAATGACATCTATCGATCGACACAGAATCCGAAAAATTTTCCGGCTGTTTCTTATAGAATTCTTTTTCATTCAGATAGGATAAAAAATTTAAAATCTTTTTAGGTGTACATTTTCAAAGCTAAATTAACATTATAGACGCTTAAATTTTTATAAAACTACTGAAGTAAGAAATGTTTGGTTTCTTACACTCTATATTACAAATGTTACTATAATAATAAGGATTTCTTATGATTAAGATATGTTGTGAGTAAATCATACGATATAGTCACAGATTGAACAGTTTTGAATAGATATGGAAACTTAATTTTCTCTATCAATAAAATTGCCTGACAATAACGAATATTGGTATTGTATTCAAATAAGATTTTACTATCTTCTCAAAATTCTTTCAGATTGCCAAATGTTTTCCATCAAACATAACCGATGCTGCGAATAATTGAAGGAGATAACAGCAAATATCTGCCAGCTTCCAGGTGGGTAATTTTTATCAATTGCCTCGTGGTGGCCCGCCGATAATTAATATATACTTTTGTTCACTTACCACAAATAAAGAAGTGTGATGTATAAGAGTATTTTATACAGAGATAATTTATATTTAGATTAAATATAGAATAGAATATCGATGAAAAGAAATGAACACGTATTATGAAACTATTAATATTCAGAGTCTGTGTATTTATCTAATTCTTCTCAGGAGTATTCAACATAGATTGCGCTTGCTTTTCTTTAATTCGTCGTTGTATTCTCTCAGATGCATTATTCGTCTTGATCTCATGGACGGCTTGTGTTGCTAAAGCGAGACCCATTGGTGGCATATTGAGATAAATTGCTTCATATTGTCCATCTTTCACTTTGTATGTTTCATGCCAAACTCCATTGATGCCATTGGCACGATCATTCTTCATGTATGCCAACATTGTTTTGATATGAACGCCCATTTTCGTATGTGTCCATCTCTCGAGTGATTCATAGTCACGCCAGTATTGCACAACCAAAGTTGTGCTCTTTCTATCATTTGCTCCAACATAGATATCACCACCCATGTAGCCCAACGTTGGATTTGATTCCAGCTCTGCTAGCATGTCACGAAATGCATTACCTGCTTCAATAAATGATTTTGTGAAAGGATTTGCTCCATTTGGTCGAATACCAATCAGACAAACTACGAAATCTCCATCACAACGTGCAGTGTACGTTGAACGTATGATGTCCGTTGAATAAGGAGTCTGCAGAAAATTGTAGTAACGTAGTATCTGCTTAGTCAAAGGATAGATGACACAAATAACCGATAGGACAGTGATAACAATCGTTGGTAGAAAGAGTGAGGCAAGAAGGCCAATGCCGATAAGATGATAGGGACTGAAGAAAGAAAGAAGTAGTACATATTTGTTGGCTCCGTACTTCAAACTTTTGAGATGAGCTGGAATCCGAATGACTCTAGTCCAATTATTTTCGCTATTATCATCTGTTGTCATCATATTATTACTTTCAAACGGGTATGAAGATGCCATGAATCGATAAATTTTATTTCAAAATATGCAACGTCTATTATATTTACTTTTTTTTACCAAAGCACGAGTGTGCGTTTTATCCTCTCGTCGATCAAAGCACTAAAAGCGTATACCACGTGCATGGATTGCTGTTGGAAGAATCTTTTTTTATTTCTCTCGCAAAGGAGGGAGGCGGATAAGGCCATTTTCTCGCCCCCAATATGTTTGCATAAAAGTCGTATATTTGGAATCAGCATCAAATTCTGACCAAGATGAGGTATTTTTACTTTCTGGAAAATGAATTTTTTTTTGAATTTTTTTGCCCCTAGGACCCCTCAAGAATGTTGAAAATTTTTTTTCGACAAATTCTTGTGAAAACTACATCATTCGATTCAGAATTTTATGCTGATTCCAAATATGGAGTTACGATTCAGAAAATGTGAATTTCCATAGGAGAAATATTGAATTTATATGTAGGTGGCGCTAGCTATCTTATTGAGTTGAATACTCACAGCAAAATATTTAGACTTTTGAGAGTTTAATAACTCCATCCAAATCGGCCACAAAAATTTGAGTGATATACCATCTTACTTAGAATTTGATGCTCTATCAAACTAGATACTGAAAAAAAAATTAAAAATTTTTGAAAAAACGTGAGGCTAAGAAAACTGTTTTCCAAAAAAGTATATTTTTCTTTTGAAACTGAAGTAGGCTCATTCGATAGAGCATCGAAAATTGCATAGGCTGTATCATTTTCAGATTGCTTCCTCGTTTATTACAGGTCAAAGATAAAAGTCAAAAAATATAGGCCTGGCTTTTCAAGGTTTTTGGTCATTAGTACAGTTTTTCACATGAAAAACAGGATTTGGAACCTCATAAAATTTTTAATTCTTAGATCTTAGGTAGTTTTGTGTGTAGCTTAGTTGGTTTTTTGATTCCCAAAACCTCACATTTAATACTGGAACGACTTCAACTCAATAAGATAGCTAGCGCCACCTACATATAAATTCAATATTTCTCCTATGGAAATTAACATTTTCTGAATTTTAACTCCGTATTTGGAATCAGCATAAAATTCTGAATCGAATGATGTAGTTTTCACAAGAATTTGTCGAAAAAGAAATTTCAACATTCTTGAGGGGTCCTAGGGGCAAAAAAATTCATTTTCCAGAAAATAAAAATACCTCATCTTGGTCAGAATTTGATGCTGATTCCAAATATACGACTTTTATGCAAAAATATTGGGGGCGAGATAATGGCCTTATCCGCCTCCCTCCATGTGCATCTAACTTTTATTCAACGAAGGTAACCAACGCGCTGTAATAAATTAAAGAAAAGCATATATGAATATTGGAGAAAAGAGGAATGTTGGCGTAATATGCATGCATTGTACACGTGTCAACCTAGAAGAAAAACTCGACTAGTCCAAACACCAACTTGTCATGAGATAGAAAATCGATTGCCTGTATATAAGATATATTGAATAGTTGAAAGAAAACCAAAGATTTATCAAAAACTATTTCCTATCTAAAATTCATAAGAACTTTATCATTTAGTAGTCTAATTGTGAAAGTAAATAATTATTTTTCATAGCATTCCACGTACTAATTGAGCCATATCCATACTCACTCTTATGTGTCTTTGTATGCTAAGCGATTAAGATATGCTTTTTTGCAGAATTCATTAGTAGAATACAACGACAAAATATCCAGTATGAAGATTTTCATTTGATTCTGAGTCCTATCTCAAACACGACAGATAATATTTATGTTTTCATATACATATCCTAGATACTTGAATGTGTCTTCTTCATGAATTTTTGTAGGTCTTCTATTGACAGACTTGATGTCATAGATCACTATACCTCCTATTTGGATATGTATGTTTTTCAATTCATGCCAATTCGAATATCACAAGTGAGTTGATCAAAACTAGCATCCGATTTTTGACGAATACCTTTTCAAGCCGGTTTAACAACAGACACTGAATTGATTGTTGAATGCACATAATTTAATTATTATTATGTTTGATTTCATCATTTCTAGCACTATCATTAGAGCGCGGTAATGATAGATTATCGAGACACAACAGTAAATTTTCAGCAACATAATCCGATATTGTTGATTCATTGTATTTGAGATAGTTTTACAAGCTCTTGTGTTTTGGAGAAAACACTGAGTGTGCATCGCATAGTGGCGTTGAAAGTTTAGTTCTTCTCATCTCTTCACACATCTATTGCGTATAGTTTACTTCCGTCAATGCAGATTTTAATTCGAGTAACTCTAGAAGATATTTATGAGCTCTTCGTTGGTATAGATTTGTTTGTTTTGAGTGTTAGTAACACACCTAATTATTAATAAAATGGAAACTCTATTCGATCATGACTATCTCAACATTTGATATGGTTCGATATAATATGGGCACATGATAAGTAGCCTACATTGACAGCTATTTACTACGTAGTTCTTTTCCAGTATAAGGAAAGTTACTAGCTATTACTCATTGGAATGTTTCAGAAAAAACGATTTTGCTGTTAGATTCGTACTGAACGGATGACTTTGACAAGAAAAATTAATTTCTATTAGTACAAGCTATGATACAGATTTCATTTGAACAAATAGTATACTTCATTAGTGACATTGTTGGCAATTGCGAAATATGCTTCTAATGTGAGGTAGAAGCTTTCACGTACATATGTTCTCTTAGCAAGTATGATGACTTCGATTGTAATCTAACATCAGCCAAGAAAAATCTCGGAATATTTGTCAACAAAAAGAAAATACGCATCAATAATAATGAAATAATTAAAACTCTTCTCTCGTAGCACATTGATGTTCATGTTCACGTAACTGTAAAAATTAAAAAATATGATCGATCTATACGAGAACCTACAACTATCACCTATTCTTAAATTTGAATGAATAAGATGTGAACTCAAATAGAATGGTATACTTGGCAATGAATTATCTTTATTAAAAAATGCCCACGACGTATTGAGCGCCAAAAACCAAAAATACGTAGTATAAGTCTTATGAAATGTATTTATCCTGAGTTGCTGTTGACAGCACGACTAACAGCAAGTGCTGTAGACACAAATGAGAAAATAACATAAGCCCACATTCCAAGACCTATAAACGAAGCCAAGAGATTAAACACCAGCGTTATTTTACTGAACTTTTTGGCTCTGATAAAATTGTTTTCTCGAGCGTATCTTCGTACAGTAATGGACAGAAAAATTGCTATCAAACCAGTTAATAAAAAGCTTATAAAAATGTTCAAGATAGACCATGGGAGGTAATCTCGTATTTTTCCAGGAGCCACTATGACTTGGGTTCTGATATGGAACTGCATAAGTTTGTTGTGGTTGTGGTTGTTGTTGCTGAACCACATATACTGGAGGCTGTGAGTTCACTGCTTCTTCAGACTTTTCCATCGTTTGTTGAAATGATGAATTCTATAGGATTGAAAGCAATTTGTATGCCAAATATATTTAATTCTGATGTGTCTTATCTTTTCAGCTGGTTGATTCTTAATTCTAGCAGTGAATGATCGAAAAATGTCTTTCATTTTATAGGCAATTTCAAATTAACTCAGATTTTTACTCATAGCAAACTCGCAATTGAAAATGTAGGTGAAACGGAACTCATTTATTTGAGATGACTGACATTGAACAGAATTCCTTTTCCGTCGTGTTTCTGTTACTCTTACGCAAGAGGGAACAAAGTCATTTCAAAAGATAAAATCAATTTGAAATCACTAGGGTGTGGGTGGGTGTAAATTCTCGGCTGTGGGTGTGGGTGTATCAAAGGAATTTACACCCACACCCGACAATATACGACTGTAGTAACCGATGGCCCTTCCGGCACTAGGATTCAAATAAGATTCCAATTGGATCCTATCAGTCTCTTTGGAAATGGCTACACTCGTCTATACGCATCTCAAAACTTTGTTATGGGCCATACCACCACTCAACTAATATAAGATTCCTCCTAAATTATTCCCAAAAAAAAACAATGTCACTGGCATTCCACAGAAACTACACACGCTATCACCCAACACAATCCGTCTCAAAATATGCAGAAACAAGAAAGAAATGCATGAAAAAAAAATGATTACTACATTTCTCAGCAACATACTTCCATTAAATAAAATCAATCACATCAACTTCGCTTTCCAAGATAAGAGCATTAGTCAGAAAAAGCTGAACATTAGAATCTCAGTCATGCAACTACTGCTGAAACAGCGCTGATTCGAACTTGAAAAAAGAAGTTTTTGGAATTTTAGATAAAGTATCCGTGCTGAAATAGGGCCTAATCTAGTAAGCTTGAATAATTGTGAGATTTGTAAGCAGTTAAAAGGCGGTGTGTGTGTGTTATTGTTTCGCGGCTGTGATACGTTCGTCAGAAATGCTCCTGTCTTGAATGTTGAGTAGAAGATATGTTCACGAGTCCCGAGCATTTCGAAGAAAATGGAGGCTCGTGATGTTGCTAGTTGGAAATGAAGCTGGTAAACGGAGGTGACATGTGCAATCGCATAGACTTTTAAACTGCACATAATCTCCAGGTGTGATGTTCGAAGTAATCTTTTATGGTTTTGGATAAAACCTTAGCTAGGTTTTTTTTGTGGCATGAAGGAGTAGTGACTTCAGTGAGATATCTCGTCAAGTTGTGTGGTTCGTTGGGAAACTATTTTATGTTTTCTTGGAAAGCCGTTAGACACGTACTTCAGGTGGGTACAGGGGAAGAAGCTTTTAGTTTTTTCGGTTTGGCTAAATTTGTTTTAATTGCATTTGCCACTCAATTTCTTTATAGGGTATTAAATGGTGTGCTCTCTTGGGATTATTAGTGCTGGAACCTGACGTGCCCCATGGTAACATGATGATATCTGGTAGGATCTTATAGGAATTCCGTAGGACTGTTCGATCCATGGGATCCTACTGAGTGCGTCTATCGGAAATTATAGGATTATCATCAGTTTCCCACTCTCCGACACGAGAAGTTCATGATAACTGTTTCCCGTCGGATTCCGACACTGAGGATCCGACTGTAGGTCATGAACCAGAATTCCGATGAAATCCTTGCAGGATTCTATTAAATTCTGATGGGATCATACGGGAACTCTATCGGATCAGATCGGATCTTGTCGGATCCTATTGTCGGATTGAATCTGCTGGGTTTATTCGCTTTGCAGTATGTCCGCGTACTATTTAGGCAATTTAAGTCAAGCCTTAGAAGTATTCAGTAGTGTTTTAAATACGGAAGTGACTATGTACACATGAGTGTATATAGCCAAATGGCTATACATACATAGATAGGTATAATCAACATAATATATATGAAATCATTATTATCTTATGTATATTTACTTATCAATCGAAACTAAATATTTTACTTTTCTAATAACTTTATTTTATTAACTATTTATTGCACACAAGTATAAATTAACTAGTACAATTACACAATAACAGAAAAAATTAATTCAAATAAAGATCAAGTAATTTAGAAATATTTCTCCCTAGTGAAAGTACTCATCAAGTGAGTACGACTTTCCAGCATGAGTACTCAGATTACTCGAGTGAGTACTCAGAAAAATTCTCGAGTATTTTCACTCATTAAGTACTCTCAGTAGTACTTCTATGGTATTTTATTTCGTAAATTACTCGCAGGCAATAGTAAGAGTACTCAATGTAGTACTCGTATCTTTTTTTCGGAAACTACTCAACGAGATAATTATGCAGTTAGAACTTTTATCAGAAAAAAATAATAGAAACTGATACAAAATAAATAAAAAATAGACAATAATTTGGTGCAATGAAAAATATCATCAAAATACAACTTGTTCAATATTTTCAAGCCGTAAGACTATAATGTCGTCTCAATCAAGAGAAAAAAAAATACGATTGGATAATTTCATAAATGCATTGTTCTCTTCAAACAATTGTTCGTTACATATACTCGACATGTAAATTTTTGTTTGTGACTTTTGAAAACTTAATTCGTAGAAAAACTCCTTTGCCGTTGCAAAATTTATTCTAGTTATTTATTCATATACACTACAATATATCACGTGCTGTATTGGTGTAGAAGGTCTACAATTGAACTGAATGCTGGTGCAAATTATAGTATCACTTAGAAATAACATAATTAATTTCTTTTATCCCTTCTCATCATTATTGTTTTTCTAAAATCATCAACTATGTGTTCGTGTATAATATTTTATGTTTTCTAGATGTCTAATAAACTTTTTATAGAACGACTGGAGCCGAAAGAAAGCGAATATGTCGACACAGAACAACAACTATCAAACTTGATTCGAAATTAGACGAGCTGCAAATGCATTATCATTCCAGTGACGCTGAAGAAACAGAAAATGAAATTTCACCAATGGTTGAAGATTCGCGTACATGCGAACAAAATATTGGTTATCAGTTAGATGATGAGAAATGTTACGATATACCAGATGAAGCAATAGAAAATCCGAATGAAAGCGATAGTGAAGTAAATGATGATGGCGATGACGATGATAAAGATGCCGACGATGATATACTTGAATTTATCAATACATTTGATGTACATCGTGAACGAATTTTATATAAATCATACAAATTAACCATTTATGAAGCTTGTGTCGAGGTAGTTAAACTCGCACGTGAATTAAATTTCAACAAAAACAAATACAAAGTTTATTAAATGGATTACGTAATTTACTGCCGGCAAAAAACAAACTACCGCGTACCGTCCCCTGTCTGCTGAAGATTGTTAGTAAGTTAATGAAAAGTATTGAATACAGTCACTATCTTTTTCTTTACATATTTTTTTGTGAATTTTAGATATTGATTGTTCAAAGAAGGTTACCTACTATTGTCGTGAATGTTTTCATCCTTTACTATCAATTCAGCAGTCTGCATGTACTTACGGATGTTCCTTTAACAATCAACGTCGATCATTTAAAAATTTGAGTGAACTAGTGATATGCGATGTTAAGCAAGTAATAGCTCAAGTAGCAAAGCGATATGGTAATATAATTCGAGAATATCAAAATGAAACAAATATTATTTTACTTGGTGATGCATTAAATGCTCAGGTGAGCACTAATTTGTTCTCAATAAGCTAACTGTATTGATACAATAGAATACGAATAATGCCATTAATTCATTGAAATGTTCATTTCTATAACTATTTTGGCATGTAGTGTAGATATCAGACCAAATCATCATGTTTTTTTCTTGCTTCATCTGTTTTCCATATCATTAGTACTCCTATATTTTTGTTTTGTTACACATTCTATATGCTACTTGGTTTATTGATTCATTCATGTTATATTCTAAAAAAAAACAATCATTGTAATGTAGCATCCCAGACGTTTTGCCGAATCTATCATATTTAATATCCATTTGGAATTTATTTGTATCGATAGACCTTCCTTCTACAATAGGAAGAACAACATCAGCAACCATTATTCCATCTTTAGTATTTTCCGGAGTTGGTGTAGTCATTTACAAAAGAGTTTTGTAATCGAAATCGCCTCTAATTATGCACATATACTTCATTTATTTTAGATTTAAATCTAGTCTTTGACTAAATAATTAATAAATGAACCAAAGCAACGACAGATATAACCTTTTTCATGAAAACGATCTACTGTTGCAGAAGGGTCAATATGGCACAGTGGAAGTGATACCACCAGCACAGATATATGGTGAGGAATCAACAGATATTGTCAATAAAAAGCCTAAATGTCATGGAAATAAGAAATTACAACGCTTCAAACGAAAATGGAGAACACGTGGTTTGAATGAAGAAGAAATTGCGACATTGATTAATACAAGAAGCCATGATACATCTGAACAATCATTAAACGAGTCAATGATGAATGATGAAATTGAAACGTTCAAAAAACGAAAAAGAAGCTCATCCGAACAAAAATTATCAAATAAATCTTTAATATCAATGAGCCAATCATCCATATCACAAGGAGTTTTTAAAAAAATGAAGAATTCTCAGATTGAAACGAAATCACCTATTGATAATAATAGCGATCGCTTGAATGAAAAAGATGATATTTCTTTTTATAAGCCATCGCGGTACTTGAAGATGCCACGAAAGTTTCTTTTGAATTCATTACGCCTTCAATTAAATTGCTCTATAAAAAGAAAAAGAGAACAGCGATTTACACTTTCACGACTTGAACTATTTGATAAACAATTTTGTCTTCATCAGATTCATCATTTATATCAAAAGTATTTGGATTTTGGTCTACAGTATCATATCTGGCCAGTCAGTTGAATCTACTTTGCTTCAGCTCATACAATAGTATTACTTTCATTTACAGGATGATATAGTTCAAATAATGGAATCAAATGAAAGTGATAAGATCCAGAAATCGCTAGAAGAATATTTGATACTGTTGAAAAACAGAAGCAATCAGCATGAAAACGAATTAATGATACAGTTATCATCTTGTCCGACTACATTACATTCTCTAGAGATGATAGATCAGAGATTGAAAGAATTTGTTCGTTTACATCATATTGATTTAGTG